GCAGAACTTCGGCAGGGTTGGAGTCCTTGTTCCCGCAGTTGGGCAGCGACTGAATCACTCCAACTACGAAACGTGCAGACGATGGATCCTCGTCGTTTATGTCGCCAAACCCTCCGCTATTTTCTTCCTTCTCCAAGTATTCGACGATGTTTCGCTCGCTGAATCTAGCGTATTGGCCCACACACAAGCCTCTTTCGTCAGGCAGGTCACGTTCCAAACAGGACTCTGAAGAGGAAGAAAGCATTTTCCAAAGAAACATTGACGGGGGTCAGGAGTAAATGACACGAAGGTCGGCATGCTGAGAAATCTGAGAGAAATTTCCGTGGATCCCTTGAATTCTCGTCCAACTTCGCAATCGAGAAATTTGAAAATCCAAAGAAGCGAACCCCAAAATTACTAATAGTGCTGATGAATACGAACAGGCCTGTAACTCAGACACGGTAATAAATTGTTGAACTCCTGGATTCGATTCGAAAAATATTCAAGAAAATACATCCCTCCAATTCCTTTTAGAAAGTTACTTTATCTTTCCAGTTCTTGTGCACATTTTTGATGCATCACATAATGGAGATAAAAATCAGTGAATGCGACGCAATCAAGACATTTTACATCAACACATTCGCACCTTTAATCAAGGTTCATCTGCAGGCGATAATTCCGCAATCTACAATAATGAATTACTTACTGTGTCTTTATTTTCAGCCCCTTTCGTGAAGACTACAATCTAACTTCTCATGTCGAACTTTACGGAACCAAAAAAAAAAAATGGAGTTAGGGAGGTTTTGAGCTGGGGAATAAACACCCTCTTCTCTTGGGGGAAATCAGGTGGAATTCAAATTATTGAATTGCCTTAAATTGTTTCTTTGCCAGTTCAACCCCCACGAAATTCGTTTGAAATAAGACAGCTGCTGGAAGTTGCTCCCAAATGTATTCGGCAAACGGAAGCTAAATAAAATTAGGTTTCAACTCTCAAGAGCTACTCAAGTGATTACCGACCGTCTCCTCGAGACAAAGACTATACAGTAAAATAAAATTGGAAAACAAAAATAACATTCCGCAAATTCGAAGAAAAACTCACTAATGAATCGGAACACGTCGCATTCCACGCTGCGGAACACGTACGGAGAAACACTCTGGCAAATCTTGAGGGGAAATTTCGATTCCTTCTCCAGTTGCTCGTAATACATACGCTTGTAATCTCTGAAAGACATCAAATGGGATCAGGATATAATGCCGAGAAAGACAAAGCTTTCGCGCCCTTAATCTTTCTCTTTCCCCCGCTACCCGCCTGAAGGATTAAAAACAGCAAATTCAAAACAAGTTTGAAAAAAAAATCTCCTCATCTTGCTTTAAAATGTGATCAAGAATATCTCCCATTGTTTTCCCTTCGATCGATTTGTTCTACGTCATTGCAATCGTCTTTCATCCCTCACTTGAATCACTCATCCCTTCAACTTGTCTGCAACATTAATTTTCATAATTATTGATCAGTGCGCCATTAACATCTCGCGGCTTAAATTTCATCAAAACCGATTTCGCATATCGATCATTCATCCTTGTGCATTCAAAAAATTGCAAGAATTATTCAACTCACTGATCGCGAGCAAAATCTTGCAATTTCACAACGACTTGATTGCACTCGCCGACGATGTCAGTGCCGGGATCCAAAACCTCACCCTCGCAGTCTAACACAACTTTCACCAATTGCTCATAGACAATTGCTGAAATGTAAGCATATTTGTAAAATTAGATAAAATACTGTACGACGTAACAACTTCAAAAATTTACACATCAGTCGAGTCGTCCGTATAAATATGTTGCTGGGAGTTTAAAAAGTTACTTCCGAAGTTGAAGAGCAAGCGAAATTTTCGAATTTTGAGGTAAACTTCCACTTACACAAATCTGCACGCGCATTACAGTTGGCGTCGAACAAGCGAGACGCGATTTTATCGCATACCACCAAAACAATGCGACACCAGCACCAAAAACCCCGTCGGAGTAGGAGAAATATTTAAAAACTCACACTGGGTGATGTTAAGAACCGCCCCGTTACCCTTAATTTTGGGTATCAGAAGGTCAACGTGACCATCGCGATGGGTTCGTGACAGTCTCAGCGCCGTTTCTCCGCACCCTGTCACGATCCCGTTCGGATCTCTCTCCCAGTCGCTGCATTTACGAACCAAATCAGCCTCCGTACACTGAAATCCGAATTCAGCCTCCACTTCCTGATCACATTTAATATCGTGTTACGCAATTGTAACAAAAAACTTGGCGGAAAGTAAGGTCAAAAGCTCACCTCCACGAATTCTTTGGCACAGATTTTCAGAAAATTCACGCATTCGCGCTTGACCTTGGGGGCGTAGGCGTCGCAGCCGTACCTCTACAGAGTCGAGACTTAATTTTAAGCAAGGCCCGAAGGGAGAGATCAATGAACACTCATGCTTACGAAGGTCGAAAATGCACGAAACAAAGAGTTCGCAGGAGGCATAAAGTAGAGGAAGTAAGGAGAATCCCGCCGATTCTGCTTCCGGACATGAATGTCTTTGTTGCGATAGCTGAATAACGGCGAGCCTTCGCACGACATGATTGATGGGTGTTCCACGATAAATTTCCTTCCGCACCAAATAACAGGAAAAACACGGAATCCTCGAGTCTGTACATAAAGCGCAGAAGAACAGGAGTGAGATGAATAACTGAGAAATATTAGCATATTGAATGGGATCCCCTTTGGCGAAGGGAGGGCAGCTTATCGTCGAAGAAACACACGCTGGAGGACAACAACACGGCCAGAAAAAGACGCTGGACTAAATGCACGAGGTAGAGAATAAATCCCAAAATCATGAATTCAAGAATAACTTAACAGAGATGGGATTATGTCTGGCCATCTACTTGTTTACGCGATTTACCATCCGATCAGGAAGGGTGCACCTCGAAAAATCGCGAAACAGGTATTGCCGAAGCCACGGAACTGATATTTGACCGGTTTTCAACTCCACAACTGGTCAACCGCACTAAATAATCACTTGCAATATTCACAATGGGCACGATAGAAACGCCAAGTGTCACATTCAATCAACTCCGACTCCTGAGTTGCAAAATTCAAAAACTTCGGCCGATCCAACGCGATCCGCGAACACTGTACGATTGAAGAACACCATTCACTCATCAACCAATCGCAGTTCACAGTCAAGTACAGCAGGAGTCTAAAGATACATGAGGATGACAAATAGCTCAAGCTGAGGAAATTTACACTTGTATGAACTTCTGATCGGCCCTTAATACCATTACGAACACAATTTACACACGCATCTCATCATAAACGCATGCAATACAGAACCCATCCAATCGCATGTAACGCTCATCAACAGTATCCACAAAGGCTTCATTCTGTGCCGAATTAACCTTGCTGCTGAATTTAGAGAGGTCTCCCTCGAGATGACTGACGGCATGCATGCAAATCAGCGCGAACAGGGGGGAAATGCCTTCGTCCCTTCGGCCTCGAGACACCGACAAGCGAGGGCTTGATACATGTAAGCCCGCCCTCGTGACTCAACGCGTGCCGCGTGGCAACACCATCCGGACCGTTTCAGCCACGTCATCTTGTCGTACACTCGGCCCACCGAAAGAGGTGGATGACGGATTCCTTCAAAACGGGGTTCATAAAAACTTTTACGCAAATTGAATACAGTACTGTACTTCTATCTAATGTGCCATAATATTTCCTTCTTTGGGGATCTGTTTTTTTGTCGAAATGCTGTGGTATACTCCGTGTGTTTTTGCCAATACTGTATAGCAGCTGCTGTTTCTTTGATCATAGTTTCCATGGAAGAGGAACACAATTCGGTCATGACGGCAGTGTACTGTAGTGCAGTACATCGCACTGTAAATGCTGTACTGGACAGTAATGAATAGTATACCCAATCGAAAGTACAGTGTACTGTACTGTTTCCCTTCGGGATCAAAATGGCAGCAGGTTGTATACCATACGTCAGGATAATTCGAACTTCAGCCCTCTTCTGTTGGTCCTCTAAACTTCACTGGTCCTCCTAAACTTACAGCACTGGGAAATGCGTAGGAACCCTGATGTGGATTGGTGCTTGTCACTATATACACCTGCTTGTTGCATTGTCCACAGCATGACTGATCACATTTTCCTGTGGACAAATATGCAAATATATTCGAATGGTTCTCCTCCTTATAAAAACAATTATGAGTAAGTCCCCCCAAATTAAATAAGATGGTTTCCCTCAACGTCAAGACACAGAAAGCAGCTGCACATCAGAATACAGTAATCCCAAATGGAATTCAATATTTTGGCAGATTAAAAAAATCAAAAAGCAAGGAACAAAACTTAGTCTTGCTATGTATCCTGTACACAGATATAAAAAAAAAACTCGGAGAAAAGAAGCATAATATCAGCTTGTTATTGATTATGAATTAGAGTAAATGTACAATATAATGAAATTTATTTTTAATAGTTTTTAAATATAAATAGCACAATTCCTTCAAGAGATATCAAAATTAAAACTTTCTCATTTCTCTGAAAAATATTTCTGAAGTGTCTCTATATCTTGAAACATTGTCTAGATGCTAGGGCAGATTTTTCAAGTCTATTTATTCAACTGTTGGGACATCCGCATGTCAGGGTCTCACTATACTGATTCAATTTTCAGCCAAACTTGTCTTCATCACAAAATATTAAAATAATTGATTCTATACAGAAAAAAACCCCCAGTCTTCAGTTGGAATTATCCATCAGCAAGTTCTATATACAGACTTACCCGCGAATGACCAGCATCAAAGGCTATTTTGTTGAGAATTACTCTTGACATATAAATTCAGCAGAAATAAGTAATAAGACTGCTGTATTCAGAGAGGAAGATGACGGAAATGCGTCATCTGAAGACATTGAAATCAACAAGCAAACACTTGAAATATCACGAGCGTTTCATTTACTACTTTCCATTGCTCAATCAAACAACAAAAACCACGAAATCAAATCAATTGCGTTTCTTATTCTTTTTGTCATCCGTCATCCCCATCTTCTCCCGATATTCCTCGACGATTCTGTTTTGAACCTGCAAAAATTGACAACATGAAAAAAGGATTCGGAAAAAAAGAAACTTTCACACAAGACATCCATGACCAACTACTGTAAACAGTATTCCAACATTAGATATAGTTTCTTCGAATTTTAAAACTTGAATCTCCCAATCTCTATCAGGACTTTTGTAGATTTGAAAGAAACTTCATCATCTTTTCAAGAGTTCTGCAAAGAAAATATATTTATGGGAAGTGATGAATTGAACAAGCATAATTAATTTGAATGCTCATGAAAACATATTTTCTTTGAACACGGATTCAACTTCGATGCTTTCAATTTCATAGAAACGGAAATTTTGAATTTAATTTTTTCAGAAATAGGTTCTTTTTAAAATTAACCAAACCAGATAAAATCAGTCTCAAAATAGGAAATAATTAATAAATGCGATTCAAATTTTATTTAAGAGCCTGAATTCAGTTTTTTTCCTTAATATTTGAAAACTTATTGTTGATGAAGAATTCCCATATTATTTAAACAACCATTTACTGTATAAATACATTACCATTCATGATGCAAAAAAAGTTTTTTTCAATCTACTTTGAAATACTGTACTTCATAAAACAAACAATGAATTTCAAAACGAGCCAAAATTTAAACCCATTCAAACAAAAGCGTAAATTTCTCCGTTCTCACGTATTACAGTAGAATCTAGTTAAAACGCAACGTTTACAACCTAAAAAAAAGCTTCGTCGTAAAAAAAATCGTTTCAACAAAATTGGTAACTGTTGGAAAGGGCAAAAAAAAAAATTCGTTTCAAGCATTGATTCGTTATAACGAGATTATGTTGTATCATCATTCAAAAAAATCACATTTGAATATAATCAATGGAATGACACACAATTGATAATTATTTTAATACCTCAGGAAGCGCAGGTGCGTAGCGGGAGTATTCCATGGCAAATTCCCCTTTTCCCTGCGTCTGTGACCTGAGTTCAGTGGCGAACCCAAACATTTCATTGAGTGGCACTTCGGAGGTCAACGTGACCCAATCATCAGTTGCTTCAGTGTTTGTGATGATCCCACTTCGCTTCGTCAACATGGCTAAAATGGGGCCTTGGAACTCGGCAGGTACCATCACTTCCACCAACATGATGGGCTCCAAAATCTGCCAACTGCTGTCGCCATAAGCTGTCAAAGCGAGAAAAACAAAGCTACAGCTGCAATTTTTCTTTTACATATAATTGAGCGCGAAAAAAAAATTAATCAGTGTTCCCCGACTCTTGGTCCGCAGAAATTTTCATCGGTCTTTGGGGAATTTCTTCAGCAAATTAATTCATCAAATGTAGCAACGAAGTCTGTTATCTTCATCTGAAATTTCAGACAGAAAATTGCAACTTAAATTAATAGATTTAAAAAAAAAATTGGCTTTTCTCCCAATTACGATTCAGACAAATTTTCAATCATTGACATAAATTATTTTAATTTTCGATTCTGAGAAACATTTCTTGAAACCCATTTAAAAAATTTTTGAAGACATTTTACTATAGCTGCTTCATTGGTTTTCAACTTGATTTTTGCAAAAGATAAAAAACAATTTCGAACAAATGATAAAAGTCTTTCAAATAAAACTATTTTTAAATTTGCAAAGATTTTAGGAAAATTTGCTGGTCCAAAGAAAATTTTCGCCAGTCCGCAGGAAATTTTCTTCAGCAAATTAAATTATCAAAGTAGCAATGAAGTCTGTTATCCTTCTCTGAAATTTCAGAAAGACAATTGCAACTGAAATTACGGTACTTGATGAAAAAATATAAGTTGACTTTTCTCCAGACACATTTTCACCCATTGACATACATTATATTATAATTTTTCATTCTGAGAAACCGTTTTTCAAACCCCATCATTCTAATTTTTTGAAAACATTCCACTGTACCTGCTTCATTGGTTTTTAACTTTATTTTTGCAAAAAAAAAGCATCAGAAACAATTTTCAGAACTAACATAAAGTCTGTCAAACTACACTTTCTTGAGTTTGGAACAATTTTATGAAACTTTGCCAGTCCGCAGAAATTTTTTTTGCGAAAATTACTGGTCCCCAAAAAATTAAACGAGATATCATCAGTGCACAGTGAAAGCCTTCTACAATTACTGTAATGCTTCTTTCACATATTCGCACTCACTCTGCCTCATGGCACCCTGAGCAGCAAACTGGAAAGACCAGTCATTAGAATCAACAACGTGGTGATCCCCATCGATCAACCGGAACCGAATCCCTGCAACCCGTGAACCCGAAAGCATCCCATGTTCGCAAAATGCCCGGAACCCCTTTTCCACAGACGGGACAAAGTTCTTGGGGATGTTCGTGCCAACTGTCTGGTCAACAAACTCCAAGTCTGTGTTCTTCTCTGGCGGCAAGGGCTTAAAAACATTCAAAAATTTTCAAATTCCAAGATTCGCACGCTAAAACAATAAAAAAAATGCACACCTCTAGAATTCCAATGACGCGGCCATATTGACCAGCGCCTCCAGACTGCTTCTTGTGCAAATAGTCAAATTCCACGGGGGACACCAGGGATTCCCTGAAGGCGACTTTGGGTTTGCCCATCACGACTGGGCAATTAAATTCGCGCTCCATTCGTTGACCGTAGATTTCCAGGTGCAATTCCCCCATTCCGGATGCAATCAGCTCCTTGTTGTCGTCGTCATACTTGACAGTGAACGTTGGGTCTTCCTTGGTGAATCTGTTTTTTTTTTTATTTTATTTAAAAACAACCGAAACTAGAATATAATTTAAAGAATCGTCATGCATGCAATAATGAAACCAACCTCGCTACGGCTTTGGTGAAGTTTTCCAGACCAGTTTTCTTATCTTTCGGCGCGATGGACATTGAAATAACTGGCTCAGGTACGTGCATGGATTCCTGTCGAAATAAAAAATGAAGTTTTCAAAACTATTCGAAAGCAATGATTCTCGTGAAAGTAAAATACAGAAATTCTCGTCACACAGAGGCTGTTGGGACTCGAAAAAAAAAACTTAGTTATAAATGAAAATTCTTCATAAAGCGATTAGAATAAAATTACGCCTACTAGCCAGGGACTTGAAAAAAGAAATCGTTGCACTTTTTCAGTTCAGATTTTCTTTCTACAAAAATAGCACAGTTTCGAAATCATGTTAAACAGAATACTGGCCAAGAATAGAGTGAATCCATCAGAACAAAAAAATAAATAAAATGTTTACCATGGACAGCCTCAGTTTGGGATCAGTAACAAAGGTGTCGCCACTGGCGCAGTCTACCCCAAAGACAGCACAGATGTCACCACTGTAGACTTCGTTCACGTCCTCGAGTTTATCCGCGTGCATCCTCACAACCCTGGGTATCCTGACCTTTTTCCGGGTCCTAGTGTTAAACAGGGTATCGCTCTTCTTCAACATTCCCTGATAAACCCGAACGTAGGTCAGTTGCCCAAAGCGACCAGCTTCCAGCTTAAAGGCTAACCCGACAAAGGGATGCGAATTGTCTCGATTGGCTGACAAAGGCACTTTTTCCACTGCGCCCCCATCTTCTTTCCTGGGAAAAAATAAAATAAAAAATTCAGTGGACGCTTGGTTCACAAATTAAAAAAAGCCTGACAAACTGTTTTCTAAAAAAATTTCAAGATTGAAAGTTCGAAATTTGATTTCAAGACTGAAGTTCATGTTACAATCTAAATGCATAGAATTCACCTGCTATGCACTGATATAAAACTTCTTCCCTTCTGGCCTTTTAACAGAGTATATTCAATCTTGTCTTCTAAAATTTGTTTCAGCTACATCATTCATATGCTTTCTGAGATAGAATAATTTGCTTTTCTGTGCTCGGGTTTTCAGTCTTTCAATTGTTTTAAAGGTCAATTTTGATCTTAACTTGCAACATTAAAAGAAGAGATTTCATTTTCTCCTGACATGTGTGTATTTCTCTGGATGTGAAGCTTTTTCTATCTTTGTTTTCATCAGTGCTACTTCCATATAACACTGTAAAAACATTTTTGGCACACGTATGATTATAGTTGATGGCCTAGAGTTATTTATATCCAATGTTCAATTGTCTTCTGGGTTCACAGAATGGATTAAATTCTTTACAATTGAAGTACAGTATATGGGAAAATCAAATTCAGTAAACACACTTTCGTCTGAAACAATGTAGTTTGTTCACCAAGGGTCCACTGTATATACTGTAAATTGAAAAAAGGGGATTCCAAAAAATTAAAATAATGAGCATACTCTAGAAGTGCAAAGTTTTGAACTTCTCCAGGATTTGGCAGAAAGTCCAGGGCACCGTCAAGCAGAGGCTGAACACCTTTGTTCTTCAAAGCTGTTCCAACATACACAGGAGTGAACTGTCTCTTCAAACAGGCTCTTCGAATTGCAGCCTTCAGTTCTGGATTCGTAGGTGCTTTTTCCTCTGTTGAAAAAAAATTTGGGTTTACGTTTATTTCTCAAAACAACTTTCAGGTTTAATTCAGAAGTTTAATTCTCCTCGCTGTCTGAATTGGAACACTTCCAGTAAGAGTATCTGGGATACAGGTGGACTCTCTCTGCAACAATCTTCTCTGTAAAACGAATTTATTTTTGGCCAGATAAGATTATTTCCTCATGTTAAAGGGGTTTTCCTGCGATAATTTTGTTTCATGGTTCCTTGAATTCCGTCACAGAGAGATTCCACCTGTAATATCACCACTCACTTCCTTAACGTGTTACAGTACTTAACATTCGAGCTGACTTATTCAGGCGAACATTATATTAGTGATGCTACAACATTTCAGATAACTTATAGGCGTTCAATCAACACATTTAAACTACCATCTTGCAAACTTTTTATCCGAATAGATGTTCTACTTGATGATTTTGAACACGGCTGCTTGACAATCTATAGCAGCGACACCTAGCATCAAGTGAACACAGTGAATTCCACTGGTACGGTACTTGGGGAAATTGCGCAAGGTGGCAGAAGCATCTACTGTATATCAAATTATTCCAGCAGTCACCTAAAAACATTTCTCCGAGAAGTTCGTCCACATTGACTACATGCTCAACGAGTTCAGCTCGTCTGTCAGCTGCCAATGCCCGGAATTCAGCTGGGATCGAGTCTTCAGCGATTTCTTCACTGGAAAAATTTTCAGGCGGATTTGAAAAATATGTACATGCTGTACATTATTAAAAAAACTTTTCCACTCACCCGCAAGATCCTCTGAAATAAACGGCCTTCTCTTCGATCAAATCAATCAGTCCAGAAACATTCATCTCCTTTCCCATTGGAATGTTCATGTAGGCTGCATTGTGACCCAGTTTTGACCTGTGAAATTTGTTTTTCATGAAAAACAACTCTTTTTCACACAAGATAATTCCTGGAAATTTAAAAGGTCGTGCGATTTTTTTCAAAATAGGAGGACACCAAAAGGAATTTTCCCCTCGAAAAGTACACATTCCCAGAAGTTCTTGGATAATCTAATTAACGAAGTGTGAAGTCAAGCAAATTGGGAATTTTTTTTCAATTCCTCTATTCATGAAGGCTTATTAAAAAATTGAACACAATTTAAATTCTGAACATTTGAAAATTTGTGAAATAAGTCTTCTAAAATCTCATAAATGTGATCATTTTTTGAGTCATTGAAATGGATTCAAAGGTTGAAAACCAGTCAAAAAATCCTTGCCATATCTATTTGGGACTAGATCAGAGCTTGAACAGGCGAGTTAAGTGATCTACCTTTTGAAAAGAAAGTGAACGAAGTAAATTTAATGCTGATTTTACAATACAGTACATTATTTTCGTCAAACATCAAGTGAATGGAACTAACCTGAGCTGAGCCAAAACTCTGTCAGGATTTGCACCAGTCCTATCCAACTTGTTGATGAAAGCTAAACAGGGCACAGAATAACGCGCCATTTGCCGATTCACAGTCATGGTCTGACTCTGCACTCCCCCAACAGCACAGAGCACCAAAACAGCACCATCCAATACCCTAAGAGCCCTTTCTACCTCAACAGTGAAATCTACATGACCAGGGGTGTCTATAATGTTGATATTGTGATCTTTCCAGAGAGTGTAAGTGGCTGCTGACTGGATAGTGATGCCTCTTTGTCTCTCCAGCTCCATGGAGTCCATTGTGGCACCCACATTGTCTTTGCCTTTCACCTGGACAGAAAAAGCAAATCATTTGACCGTCAAGGGAAAATACTGTATACACAGAAGCATATTTACTCAAGTATCATGCACCAATTATCACAGTACTGTAAAGTATTACAAAAATCTATCCTTGAATCAATTTATTTTATGAAAGTGATGACAGCATTCAAAACTTAGTCTGACAGTTTAAATTCAATTGAGCTGATTTTTTTTTCACATTCTCATCTGCAAGTTTGATTCATGCCTCAATATACATTTTCATTTGTTCTGGCATCTAAAAAAGTATTTCTTCAAGTTACACTGATAGCATTTGAAGAGTGACAAACCACAACAAATTACAAAATTTCCTAGAAAAAAGTACAGGTATTTTCTCTCTTCAACAAAATTCAAGGGACCACAAACAATTTTTGCAGAGAGCATTTTGAAGCAGAGAACCCTACATGACATGAAATAGTTACACAAGACAAAACTAATACTCAAGAATGATGCACACCCAACTTTTTGGGCTTAATTTTTGAGAAAAAAAGCACACATGATACTTGAGTCAATACAGTATGCAGGTGGACTCTCTTTACAACAAAATCCAAGGGACCAAGAACAAATTTTTTTTGGTAAAGTTAGTTTTTTTGTAGATAACTCTTATTACATGCGAAGAGAACTGTAAGAGACCAAAAAATAATACGCTATACATAGAAAATCATTGTAGACAAAATTGTAGTAGAGAGAGTCCACCTGATCACATTTTTTTCTTGCAATTCAAACACAAACCTCATGCATTTCTTGAATTCTCCCGGTATAATATAAAATCCGCTCTGTTAAAGTCGTCTTGCCAGAGTCAATGTGAGCTGAGATTCCAATGTTGCGGATTTTTTCGCTGTCCTTGGTTTCAGTCAGGGCCACCTTAGAAATGGCTTGGGCATAGCACCTGGATCCGCTGATCCATTTATCCCTGGTATGCCACTTTCTAAGCCCTAATCTCCTCAACATGACTTCTGATAATTTAAGCCTATCAATCATGTTGCCAAGCACATCAACACCTAAAAAAAATTTGAGATCTCTGCAGAATACAAATCATAATAGCGTAACTTCAAGAGCAAACATCAAATTGAGAAAAAAAGAAGTCAACCCCGGATTCACCAACAGTTCACGTCTATTCAAGAAAAACAAAACCGTTCAATAAAAAAAAAAAATTGAGTGAAATCTCAAGCACTGAGATGAAGCATTTCACTGCGCTTGGATTTCAGTTCATCAACTAGACAATTGCTCAATGCCTCGGGAGTGACTTTTTTGCCAACAGTGGATTCCACCAAAATCCTAGGATCAACTGCTCCTCCGTGAGACAATAAACCATATCTCACAGCTTCTCCCCCAGGACGGTCAAACGGATCATTCTGAAAATTCATCGTTCAAAACAAAAATTACAACTTCAAAAGAAAAAAAAAACTCGAACATTACTAAAATACAACAAATTTGGCTTATGTCACTTCTTTTCACCCCAAAATGTCTCAACAGGTGTCGCACGAATTGAACAGACGAAAAAAGATTCGAGTGAGAGCATGATGCGACATGCCGGATTACTCTAATTTCGTAATGTCACGGAGATGTCGCCTGAATAGTCAAATTGAATCACGTATAATTAGGGCAAAATTAAAACTAACTCGAATTCAGATTGATCTGATTGTAACCGAACTAACTGAACTACAGCACAGTACTTTATATCGAACTTCTTTTGAATCTGTGATCAGACCTAAAATGATGCAAGTGAGAACCAAAGACATACTACAGACTAACATAAGTTCCTGGAATGTCACGTGAAAACAATGAAACTAACCCAGATATGACTAAATTTAAAACTAAGTCCATGACTGAACCACAGACAACTACTCTTTTTATAATTTAATGCAGCTGACGTCTAAAAGTAATTGAACTAAACTTGACAATCATTCATGAGACAAAAACAACCCATCTCGGCTGAGACCTACTGAAACACACGAAACCAACATAATGACAGATAAAATCATCCAAGAAACTGGACCAAAGAAAAGAGAAAATGTATTCTGAAAATTCGATAAAAAAATTCTAGAATTAAAAGTTGGATTACTACGGAAAACAAAATCCTCACCTTGAAATACCGAGACCAGATCCACGCAGAAACAGCTCTTGACATGAGGTACGAGTAATATTTTGCGCCATAGCCCACCAAGTGGGAAAATCTCAATTGCCAACCGGTGTTGGGTACATGCGGAAGCCCGTAGTAATCGTTTTGCACTTCACTCAGAAATAGGCAGTGCCTAAAGGGGTTCCCTACGAAGGGCACCATGGAGACCAGGTCTTGCCTCATCTTTTCGACCTCAACGTTTAGTCGACGGCGTTTGTGTGAGGACTTATGCGTTAGGCATGTCTTGTTATTAATCAACTCGTACAGTAAACAAAAAAGCAACTCAATATTCATCAATTCAAGATATTCTTTCCGAAAAATATACAGAAAAAAAAATACAATTTAACCTCACCTTGAACCACAAAGACGGTAAATCAACTCTTCAGGCATCTTCTCCCCAGTTTTGTAATGCACAGCAAATGTTGATATCACCTTGAAAAATGGGAATACTGTACAGTAATGAAGTACAGTACACCCATAGCTTGAAAATTTCTCCATGTTTAAACGCGGCCTCCAATGATTATGTTGGGACCAGGCGAGGGCCTTATTACTCACTGGATAATGATCATCTCATTTACCCATCATACCGTCAACTAATTACTCACATGAAAAACATGTTTATCGCCGAGTGAATAAACGGTGAGCCAAATAAAGACGAATAAATGAACGCTATCATAATGAATGAATGAAAAGGGGTTAAGTTTATAGATGATATAGTAACTATTGCTTCGAGAAAAATAAATGACTTTACTGGAGAATAATTTTTATTGCACTTGAACGAGGATTTTGAGAGAAGAATCGCTACAGAGAAAATTTCTGGGACATTTTGGTTCATTTTTTTCAGGAAAATTAATTAAAAAATATGCTTGTTTTAAAAGCAATCCTAAATTTGCTTTTAAATGTCTGTTTTGCTAATACTGTACAATAAAACCTTTTCAAAAAAACATTTCAGGACTTCAGAAAACATTTATTGTAGTGAATAAATTGGTATCACAAAAATTTGAAGAATAATGACAAGAATTTTTTCTTCATGATTAAGTAAGCCTTATATTACTACATATATCTAAGATTTTACTTTTCTGACATTTTCAGTTTTTTTTTTAAACTTTCGATTGAATCGTTTAGTAGTTTTTTTTTCACCAAAAGGCTGATCCACAGAAGTCAACATTACATTCTCCACCACTGTATATTCACTCAAGCATCATCTGCACTTTTTTCTAAATTGAGAGGAAGGTGCACATTGTAGGTGAGTATGAAATTTTCAAAAAGTTTCAGAAGTTCAAGAGCACATTATCCTTGATTCTAATTGGAAACTTTGGACCAATCCCAAGAGAGAACATTTTTTTTAAAGGAAACAACTAAAAAGTGTCTGAACTCATGTACGATTCATGCTTATATTTTTATTTTGTTGTGTCTTATTTTTGAAATACAGTTCTGCAGTTTTAAAGTCACAAAAATGGGGTGCATGTCTTAGTAGGATAGGATAGGATTTTATCATGAAAAAACCAGGAGCGCATCTCACTTTCGGACATGTGGTACTTGAAAGAATTCAGTACTTCGAATTTACTGCATATGCATCTATGTATACATACAGTAGAAAAACTCACTCTGGGATCCCCAGCAAAGAATTCCATCATGGTGGAAGGTACTTCCGCAAAGTCTGTGGGGCATCTGGTCCCAGTCACGTGTTGGTAACGCGTTCTGCCCATCACAGAGTGCAAAGCGTGTCCAAATTCGTGGAACAAGTTGTCCACCATTCCGGGAGACAAACACGGCGGCGTTCGTCCAAAGGTCCCATCAGTTCCAAAGCCACCAGGTGGGAAGGACAACAACAACACTACAATCGGCACCTGGAGACACACATTCCGAGGACAATAATTCTAAAATTTGTGGTACAACCTGTTGTTACTTCACCGTGAGACAGATTTCACTCAGGGTCAAGATCATAATTTTGCATTGACATTTCCAATCTGTACTTCTGGGCCAAATGATTTGTAAAAATCATCAGAACTGCTGAAAATGAAGGGCTTTGAGTAAATATGTAATTACATCCTTCCTACACCAAGAGGAGAACGTCAAAAAATTACATAAAAGATGATCAATCGTGTCCATCACAAGCTATGAATTCTTTAGAAGTGGGTAGATGTCACTCGCAGTCAAAATTAAATTTCGCACGGAGCTCCTGTCCCACATTCCAACTATTTTGGGCATTATTTCTGTACCATAGAAACCAATTCTCGAACTTCAAGCAATTCTTGGTAGCTTCTGGACACGTTTACCAACATACTCTAGAATCTTGTCGCAACAAACTTGGAAAAAAATTGATATTAACGGAGAGGGACCTGAAAAATAAATTCTTCGTGACGAGATTTCATTGCACTTCAATTTTCATACAAGATTTTGAACCCAGCAAAAACGCGGCATTTTTTCTTCGGAAAGCACAGAAAGGCATTAACCTGGTATGAACCATCAGACAGCCTTCGTCCACCTTGGATTGTGAAGTGGCAATCAGAGTGCGGCTTGTCATGGCGATCAAAGAAGTCGCAATAAACGTATCCCAGCAAGCCATCTGCTTCGTGAACAACTAAGAACAACACAAAACAACGAAAATACCTCAAACTTCAAAACACCAATAAAAATGAAGAAAAAACAAAGTCAAAGCGACTGCAGACCTGCAAGCTTCCGGACATCATTCGACCAAAGCTCTCCAGGCGCAGCTTCACACAATTCCAAGCGTATCCCATAAAGCGTTTGCAGTAGTTTGTCTAGACCTTCCATACAACTTCCGAGACTGAAGTATGATGCAACTGATGAACTCGTGACGCCGAAATCCTTTTGTCGCGTGAGAGACGCGTAGTATGGAGGGTCCCAGGGGGCCAAAGGTCCTGAGCCAGGACTTGAACCTTTCTAAAAAATATAAAAAATACATACCATGTATACATTTTTAAAAGAACATTTTGGTGGTTTTAGTATGGACGTAACACATTCTGAGACAGAAAGTTGAAATTATAACCCTTTTAAGTCCAGGATAATCCTCACAGAACCCCTTATTTTTTATTTGAAAATATTTCTAATTATGAATTTTAAATAAAAATCATAAACTTTGGGAAATTTAGAAGGCATTCCAATATTACTGCAATTCAAGTAAATTTGAAGTTAACTTAGCCTGCAATCGAAGTGAAATTGGATTCGATACACATTTCACAATCTAATCATACGAGTACTGTACTGTTGTCACTCGAAAATCCTACACCTGGTGAAAAGTTGCCGAAGTTGGGAGAAACGTGTACCCAAAGCTGTAAATTTAAAATACTGTACTGTATTTCAAAGGTAAGAAAAGGAAGTATTTTAAGAAAACGGCTCGGGATTTGAAAATATTCATAATTTACTTTTTCTGTCCCGGAATATGCAATGAACATCAATATGAAAACCCCCTCAGGTGAAGAAATTGAAAATTATATTTTCCAACTACAACTTATTCCCAAGACTTCGGAAGATAAAAGATTCAGATTGTGCTCAGATTTCAAGTACTGTGCTTCTGAATAATATTAATTTATGGGCTTCCATTTAGAATATGATTGCACCCACACCTTTTCAAGGGAAACTTCCTCCAAAATCAGCAAAAAGAAAACTTGTTCGTCCTTTTCTTTTCTTTTCAATAAAATATAATAAAATCCAAGTTTCGTACACGCATCAATAAAACTAGGCAACACATTGAAAAAAGTGTTAGAATACCATACCTTCAACAGTTCCATGGTCCAAAAGTCATCTGCTGCCAATTATCCGTCACGGATTTCCCCAAGGGATGCTTCCCGTGGTACCTCTGGTCCAGAACGGAGTAGAAAAGCTGGAGTTGCAAATCAGCTGCCGCAAACACACTCCTGAATACGCAATCCGTACAGAACAACTTCATCAACTCGTACAGTAAACAAAAAAGCAACTCAATATTCATCAATTCAAGATATTCTTTCCGAAAAATATACAGAAAAAAAAAAACAATTTAACCTCACCTTGAACCACAAAGACGGTAAATCAACTCTTCAGGCATCTTCTCCCCAGTTTTGTAATGCACAGCAAATGTTGATATCACCTTGAAAAATGGGAATACAGTAATGAAGTACAGTACACCCATAGCTTGAAAATTTCTCCATGTTTAAACGCGGCCTCCAATGATTATGTTGGGACCAGGTCTCCCGGAATAATGAGTGACCTATTACTAGTAGAGTAAATGGGTAGTATGGCAGTTGATTAATGAGTGTACTTTTTGTACAAATAGCGGCTCACTTATTTGCCACTCGGTTTATTTCTGCTTATTTAGAACGCTATCATAATGAATGAATGAAAAGGGGTTAAGTTTATAGATGATATAGTAACTATTGCTTCGAGAAAAATAAATGACTTTACTGGAGAATAATTTTTATTGCACTTGAACGAGGATTTTGAGAGAAGAATCGCTACAGAGAAAATTTCTGGGACATTTTGGTTTATTTTTTTCAGGAAAATTAATTAAAAAATATGCTTGTTTTAAAAGCAATCCTAAATTTGCTTTTAAATGTCTGTTTTGCTAATACTGTACAATAAAACCTTTTCAAAAAAACATTTCAGGACTTCAGAAAACATTTATTGTAGTGAATAAATTGGTATCACAAAAATTTGAAGAATAATGACAAGAATTTTTTCTTCATGATTAAGTAAGCCTTATATTACTACATATATCTAAGATTTTACTTTTCTGACATTTTCAGTTTTTTTTTTAAACTTTCGATTGAATCGTTTAGTAGTTTTTTTTTCACGTTTTCCGACTAGGTGTCTTCAGTTGTAATGTAAGAGGTGGTGACATATAAGTGAGTTCGTAGTAGACGTGAAAAAAGATTTAACTCTCCTTCCACGTGTAACATCCACTCATACTTTAAAAGTTTTGTTTCAGAAGTTCAAGAGCACATTATTCTTGATTCTCATTGGAAACTTCGGACCAATCCCAAGAGAGAACACTTTTTTTTAAGGAAACAACTAAAAAGTGACTGAACTCATGTACAATTCATACTTATATTCATATTTTGTTGTCTTATTTTTAAAATACAGTTCTGCAGTTTTAAAGTCACAAAAATGGTTAGTAGGATAGGATTTTATCAAGACTTCACGCTGAAAAATACAGGAGCGAATCTCACTTTAGTACATGTGGTACTTGAAAAAATTCAGTACTTCGAATTTACTGCATATACAGTAGTAGATACATATGTATGTCATCTTTTTGAGTGAGACCCTAGGGGTCGTTTCTTAAGGTAGTACCACCTTCCATGAAGGCGTTTCAGACACCCCGTAGACCAGGGTCAGTGCACAACCATTGCGCAAGTGCCCATCACAGAGTGCAAAGCGTGTCCAAATTCGTGGAACAAGTTGTCCACCATTCCGGGAGACAAACACGGCGGCGTTCGTCCAAAGGTCCCATCAGTTCCAAAGCCACCAGGTGGGAAGGACAACAACAACACTACAATCGGCACCTGGAGAGACACATTCCGAGGACAATAATTCTAAAATTTGTGGTACAACCTGTTGTTACTTCACCGTGAGACAGATTTCACTCAGGGTCAAGATCATAATTTTGCATTGACATTTCCAATCTGTACTTCTGGGCCAAATGATTTGTAAAAATCATCAGAACTGCTGAAAATGAAGGGCTTTGAGTAAATATGTAATTACATCCTTCCTACACCAAGAGGAGAACGTCAAAAAATTACATAAAAGATGATCAATCGTGTCCATCACAAGCTATGAATTCTTTAGAAGTGGGTAGATGTCACTCGCAGTCAAAATTAAATTTCGCACGGAGCTCCTGTCCCACATTCCAACTATTTTGGGCATTATTTCTGTACCATAGAAACCAATTCTCGAACTTCAAGCAATTCTTGGTAGCTTCTGGACACGTTTACCAACATACTCTAGAATCTTGTCGCAACAAACTTGGAAAAAAATTGAAATTAACGGAGAGGGACCTGAAAAATAAATTCTTCGTGACGAGATTTCATTGCACTTCAATTTTCATACAAGATTTTGAACCCAGCAAAAACGCGGCATTTTTTCTTCGGAAAGCACAGAAAGGCATTAACCTGGTATGAACCATCAGACAGCCTTCGTCCACCTTGGATTGTGAAGTGGCAATCAGAGTGCGGCTTGTCATGGCGATCAAAGAAGTCGCAATAAACGTATCCCAGCAAGCCATCTGCTTCGTGAACAACTAAGAACAACACAAAACAACGAAAATACCTCAAACTTCAAAACACCAATAAAAATGAAGAAAAAACAAAGTCAAAGCGACTGCAGACCTGCAAGCTTCCGGACATCATTCGACCAAAGCTCTCCAGGCGCAGCTTCACACAATTCCAAGCGTATCCCATAAAGCGTTTGCAGTAGTTTGTCTAGACCTTCCATACAACTTCCGAGACTGAAGTATGATGCAACTGATGAACTCGTGACGCCGAAATCCTTTTGTCGCGTGAGAGACGCGTAGTATGGAGGGTCCCAGGGGGCCAAAGGTCCTGAGCCAGGACTTGAACCTTTCTAAAAAATATAAAAAATACATACCATGTATACATTTTTAAAAGAACATTTTGGTGGTTTTAATATGGACGTAACACATTCTGGGACAGAAAGTTGAAATTATAACCCTTTTAAGTCCAGGATAATCCTCTCAGAACTCTCTATTTTTTTATTTGAAAATATTTCCAATTATGAATTTGAAAGAAAAATCATAAACTTTGGGAAATTTAGAAGGCATTCCAATATTACTTCAATTTAAGTAAATTTGAAGTTAACTTAGCCTGCAATCGAAGTGAAATTGGATTCAATACACATTTCACAATCTAATCATACGAGTACTGTACTGTTGTCACTCGAAAATCCTACACCTGGTGAGAAGTTGCCGAAGTTGGGAGAAACGTGTACCCAAAGCTGTAAATTTAAAATACTGTACTGTATTTCAAAGGTAAGAAAATGAAGTATTTTAAGAAAACGGCTCGGGATTTGAAAATATTCATAATTTAATTTTTCTGTCCCGGAACATGCAATGACCATCAATATGAAAACCCCCTCAGGTGAAGAAATTGAAAATTATATTTTCCAACTACAACATTCCCAAGACTTCGGAAGATAAAAGATTCAGATTGTGCTCAGATTTCAAGTACCTGTACTGTGCTTCTGAATAATATTAATTTATGGGCTTCCATTTAGAATATTATTGCACCCACACCTTTTCAAGGGAAACTTCCTCCAAAATCAGCAAAAAGAAAACTTGTTCGTCCTTTTCCTTTTCAATAAAATATAATAAAATCCAAGTTTCGTACACGCATCAATAAAACTAGGCAACACATTGAAAAAAGTGTTAGAATACCATACCTTCAACAGTTCCATGGTCCAAAAGTCATCTGCTGCCAAAGGTGCCAACTTTTCCCTCAAGCACCGGTGGAATTCATCCACAAATTCAGGATTTCTTCCAAGACTATAACTTAGCATTCTGAAGGAAAAAGAAAACAAATACAGGCCCAGGAACTACGTGAAACATGACATGAAACTTATAAAAATTTTAGATTCAGCACTCATTAAAAAAACTGATGAAACCTAGAAACTGATGAATAATGAGAAAAAACTGTGACTACCAGCGACATCTACTCCCCATTCAGTAATTAATCATTCCAATGGAAAAAATTTGAAAAAATGAGCACATGTTAATTTTTCAGGACACGCTAAATTGACAAAATCTGACACAGTGCTTCCCTTTGAAAACTTACCGTTCAGAATAAGTTGAAAACCCACAAATGGTGGCCATTTCGTGCCTCGAACTCAGCAACCTTTCCAACAAAGCTTCTTGGGAATGATCTCTGGCCAAATAGAGCTTGTATGCAAGTTCTCGCGTAGTTTCCTGCGAAGCATCCGCCTGTAGACTAGATATCAACACTGTGCCATCCCCGCCTTTCCTGAACCTGGATTTCACAGACAGAAACACAAAACTTATTGAAAATTGGTAAAAACTTTTAATAGAGACTAGAGATCAAAGTTACAATCGCAAGTACAGATTTAGAACTTCGATACAGTACTTGAAAATATCCAACTGAATTTTCTAACTGTAATTGAATTTTCAAAATGAGCAAAAAATAAAATATTATCGATTAAAAATTATTCGACATTAAAGCTAACCCAGTTCCAAAAGCATTCACCTCACTTGAAATCACCTTACCTTGATAACCTCACTTGAAAGATAATTTTAATTTATTAAATACCGATTAAGCTATACTGAAATAACTGACCAGACTAATACAGTACCTTCAAGGTAAACGAAAGGGGAAAAACCGAAATTGACTTCAGCTGAAACAAAACTAACCGGATCTAACGCAGCATAACTTTCAATAAACCAGTACCCAGTATGAGCAATTTGAATGAAAAACTAATTGAATTCTGCCCGATTCAGGCGACATCTATTCAACAGCACATAAAACCGGACTTGAGGCCACGTGACGTTTCTTTTAAACTTCCTAGAAAATCAACTTGAAAAAAATAAAAGAAAAGAAGCTTAAAACCGTCGTAACCGTAAAATCTGTTAGACGAGTGTATTTTTTTGGTAGTCAAACAAAAATATAAAAAAACTAACCTGGCGGCGAAATGCGCAGGCAAATCGCGTTCTCGAACAGCCCTCGGGGCATTGGCAGCAGAACAAAACCGTTGGCCGAGATACAAGATTTCTTCATTCAATCTGGCCACTCGTTCCCGCTTAGACTCGGTCAAATGTATTCCACACTGTTCGAAGTCAAACTTGAACAATTCCGCTACACGCGTGTCCACTTCGTCGCAACCAAACGCTGTCTTCTCTCGGCCAGATTCCAGTCCATCTTTCAAGCTTTCGTACAGCTTCAAATCCGTGTTCAACCTTTCCGAAAAATTGTCAATGTTTTGCAAAATTAATTGACTGCTATTTTAAATACGAAGAAATTCCGGCAATGATTTCAGAACTCACGTGGACCTCCTCAATTTCCCCTTAATTTAGAAGCTATCGACAGCGTAAAAATTAAAAATTTGGCAATAAATACAATAGAATCTCGTTATAACGAATTACTGCGTACACCGAATTCGTTTTTTCCGATCCTTATCCGAAAGCCACAATGCTATTCAAATTTTGTTTGAATTATTTTTTTATAATGACGCTTTAAAAAAAAAAAAATCACAAACGCTTCGTTGTGATGAAATTCTACTGTGTCCAAAAATTGGATCAGACCGGGTTTACCAAGATTCAAGAGGGTTTCGTCAGCATTACGCCTTTCGAGTTTTCAATGGATACACGAATACGGATGTAATTTTAACACACTAATTTTTCATTTGAATGTTTACTCTGCAAAACAAAGACTAACATTGCGTTAATTTCGAAAATTTTTGAGTCATTCAGGCTGAAAGTGAAATTCGCCTAAAAATTCAAATTGGCAAGATGAGACAAAAAAAAAATAACGAAGACGCGCCTGCCATGGAAGAAAATTTAGCAAAATGAACAAATTATGGATTCAAATGATTTGCCATAATTTAAATAATTTCCATCGCTTAATACGCCTCATTGAGTTTCCACGTTTTAAAACACAAAACCAAAAGAAAACCTCTGCCACTTTTTTCCTTGCCTCACTTTTCAACCAGTCCACCAATGGCCAAACAAGCGTCTTCCGCTGCCAGACGAAACTTCGCATTCGGATGGGCTATTCTCACAAATTCTGCTAAATCAGCGACACTTCGAAAAAAGAAAAAAAAAAAACCAGTTTGGAACAACTTTCAGGTAGAAAAGAAAAAAGTTACAACACCTCACCGACACAAAGAGTCAGACAAATCATCGAAAATCTCCACAAGTTTCCTCGTTCGATGCTGAGAACAGGCTTCCGCAACGAGTTCATCCGCTTCCGAAATCGCACGTTCTTTCAACAAGTAAAACCCGGTCGGATCCCGTAATTCCTTCTTCCCAAAAAGACCCTGAAGAAGTAGAACAAAGAAGGATCACCTCGAGTTGACATGGATGGATTAGAGTCATTAACTGAAGCCTTTGCTCATATGCTACAGGATTATCTTCAAGTAAACTGATACAATTTTGGATCATTGATTCGAAACTCAAAGCAAACATCTCTTCCAGCATCGCAAAAATCATGACACATTTCTCACAAAATATTGTAAACAAAAACATTGTCTCTAATTATCTTAAAATTTTTATATATATTTCGTAGCACTTCTGACAGCCTGAAAAATGCATCATAAATGTCAATTCGGCAAATTGCCCTGATTTCCTTGCAGTAATGAACCCTTGATCTTGGAGAAATGCAAAATGCACCTAGGTTTACACTTGTCATAAACAAAACAATTTCTGAAGAAATTTGAAAACTGCCAAAGACGTAGGAAGGTTCGTGCAAAAAACGACATACGATTTTCAATTTTTGCCTGGCCTGAAAAAGTTTCAACATGTTGTGACATGAATGGAAAACTCTCACCAGAACTGGAAAGTTTTCACTTATCATGCAATAAATCTAAAAATTTTCACATAAATAAAAAATCCCAGAATCTTAAAATTGCATGGGCTACATCATATATTTTACAGTGCTTCCTACTCAAGATATACTCAAGGCCAAGCAGAAGTGGGACAACCCTCGTATATTCTAACATTTATCGGAAAACTTCTCGCAAATTTTTTTCCAGCTTATCTCATTCTTCGTTTGGGGATCGGTCAAAAAAACATCGTGTTCGGAAATCGCTGCAGAATTTCTAGCTTTCACAAAACTTATGAATCAACACTTTTTCCCCCCAAAAATAGCCCGAAAACACAAATTTTTTTTTTCGTCAACTCACCACTTCATCCGCGGCGAAACTGAAAGAAATTTTTGGCATGGGTCTGGAATTGAAAGCTGCTGCAAGTGGGGCAGACGTACTCGTCACATTTCGACTCCACACTTTTCGCAACTGCACTCCGCACAAAGCACAACCGCGAGACCACCGCAACATTGTCTTCTCCTAGGAAATTTTCTCGACAACACGAACAAAACACTGTCAATACCTCGAGGATTTCTGCTCTCTCTCTTCACAAAAAAAAATGGTTGCACACATTCTTTCGAGGAGGTCCGAAAGTTCGCACATGAAAAGAAGACACACCCGGATCTGGTTTTCAATTCGCGCTGTGTCTTCACAAAATACTCTTCCAACTGCAAAAGGACGAAGACAAAATCTAACTAAAAAAGACTTTCATACCTGCAAAAGCACCAAGAAGAAAACAAAGAGTGGCGGCTGATTATGTACTGAAAAATACGCGTCAAACTTGAAGGCAATCACGAAATTTAAAAGACACGCTCTATCTCATCATGCATCAAAACAATACGCTTTCTGAACCGATAAAAAAAAAAAAACCCAGAAGATGATCCATTCAGAAGCACGTTGCAATGTATTTCCTGCACAGAAAATGCTTCACTTATTTTTCCCAGTGTCTTCTTTTAAAGAAACGGTTCGATTGAAAACTAATTTTTTTGCAGTTGAATCCGGGTCAACTGCAAAAAATCCTTGACGCTCAAACTGATATGCCTTGTAAGGCGTGGGAATATCGTGAAGAATGTGCTCATCAAATAGAGCCTCCTTCACAACTGTCAGCGATTTCGGGTTCACGTCGGACAAGAAACCTCCTGGCACCTAAAAAAAAAACATTTCATTTCAATAATTGGATGAAAAAAAAAGATAAAATGGTGTCCAGCGAAGAAAAATATCCTTTGCGAAAGAGTTTTCGCAAAAATTTTTTCTTTTGCGGAATCCGAAAAAGCTCACCTCATCAGGATTTTCAGGATTCTGATGCATAAACAAATGCTCATACATTCTCACTTCGCATTTCTCCGGATCAGAGACCCAGTGAACAAAGGCCTTCGGCTTCCTCGTCTGTTCCACAGAACAACACACAACCTCGAGCTCCTGAACTTCACCATTCGGCCCTCGCAACACCTTTTTCACACTAATCACTAAACCCGCGTGTCGCAGACCCACACTTTGGGTGCAAGTCAGTCTCCGATAATCCTTTTCGGCGTCATTGTCGCGGAAATCCGATCGCTCCAAGTATATCACCGGTAACAGCGTGATCATATGTGTAGCGGAATTTGGATGCGAGGGAAAGTCTAGCACTTCGAAACGCTTTTCAGAAGAGTGCATGTTCAGGATCGTGACTTTCAGGGGGTCCAAAACAACCATTGTTCGCGGCGCAGTTGCATTGAGAGTGTCCCGAACGCACGAGTCCAAATAATCGGGTCCAACAGCCATTTGAGCTCCTAAAAATGGGGAATTTTCACGCAAAAAAATATAACTGCGCCAGTCTAATTGTGTTTCGAATAAAAAAAAATTATTCAGAAATGTGCAAAAAGGGCTCAAAATGGTAAAAACTCCGCGCGATTTTTACACATTAGTCTTCTAGTGACATCCACCCACAGTTAAACAACTTGCACTTACTCCAGCAGGAAAATATGGATGTCACCCGAATGATCAACGACATGAAGTTATCAAGGAAACTTGAAAAAAAAGGACACAGTGATTCAAAGCCTCGACATCGGGACAGTGTCTTGAAATACGGACAATTGGTCAAAATTTAAAGGAGAAAGGGTGATTTGATTTTTCGAAATTTTGATAGCTCTTGAAAAAACTGAGCTATTTATATTCAGAAAAATAAAAATTAATTTTATTATAAATTCACTACAATTCATAATCCAAAAATGAGTATTTTGGGCTTCTTTTTCAGAGTTTTTTTTTCCATCATCTGTTCACAGTATCAAGACTTTCGTTGGTTCTTTGTTTTTTTTTGGTTTTTTTTTCCATGCCAAAGAATCAGATTCCCTGGGGCTTTCTTCTGCACAGTAATTTTCTTTACATGTTAAGTTGAGAAAAAATTATTCAATCTTTTGACACGAAAAAACCCTGCATACTGGCGTCAAAAAATAAACACATAAGGAACTCACCACTCAAACCCAATCGCGCGACAAAATTATTAATGGCCTCGGGAGGGACGCCCCTTCTTCTCAAGGCGGTCAACGTGAAAAGCCTTGGGTCATCCCAATCCCTGACGATTCCATTTTTAATTAGAGAAGCAATTTTCCGCTTTGAAACCACTGTCCGATGCACATTCAACCTGCAATACACCAAAAAATTCACCAATAATTCCTGGACACGCATTTATTTTTATTTTTTGCCCATGAAATTTTGCACTGTATCTGCATACGACATGAAAATCATCCTTTAATTCGTTAACATTAGAAATTAAATAAAAGATTCATTCAAAAAATACCGCGAATATAAAAATCCTCCAACAGCTATCAAATTTTCTCCTTGCGTTTTTCAGTCATCAAATCTTCCAAATTCAGTTCAGATATCTTCCTTTACACATGGACATCATTTCTGTGGGTGAATTTTGTAAACAATCCCATCAACTACGATTTGAATGTAGAATACAAGACACCGTCAACAAATTTCAAAAGCGTGCAAAAAAACAAACAAAAAACAGAACTTACCTGGCATATTCCCACTGCACCGGACAATAAACGTCGAGTGCGTTGCATAACCAGTAGTAGGAAGAACGCCTAGACTGAAATTCTTTCGTACACAAGGAATGCGTGATGTCTTCCAGAGAATCACACAAACAATGCGTGTAATCGTAGGTCGGATAAATACACCATTCATCTCCAGTTCGGTGATGGGGAACATATTTTATTCTATACGCAACAGGATCCTAGAAAGACAAAGAAGAAAAGGGAAATCACGAAAAATCCCTCGACGAAATCCACACAAACGATACAGTACTAATTAGTTCTTGCGGGAAGTACACAGAATTCGGACTTTCAAAAATAATTGACCTGTTTCCCTTCTTCCAAAATATGCTTGAGTCGCAACGTAGCTTCTCCTTCATCAAACAATCCATCCTTCATGGCACGGAACAGCCTCAAATTTTCATCAACAGGTCGGTTTCTCCAGGGGGACGGAGGGGGATCAAAACCCTTCATTTCTTCCGGTTTCTGATGACACACGTAGGCCAAACCATCCTTGATGAGCTTCTCCGCCATTTCGTACAGCTCGTGGAAATAGTCCGACGAATGCGTTATCCTAGTGCGAGGAGAAGAAATTAATATCCTCAAATCAATCTTCAAGTACTACCAACTCTCAAAGGTAGGCAAAAACGATCGAAGTATGCAAATGGATTAAGAACCAGTAAGACATGATTAATCAACAACAGGTTGAGGAATTTTCTTTCTGACAAATTCTCATACAAGATAATGATTCAAGTAAGATAATAATCTCATTAATCAAGTGTTTTCATGAGACCCCAACCTCATGATTGCTCAAGGAATCCCAAGTGTCCTTGATTCCTTGAAGCTATATGCAGTATATTACCTGCAGTGTTGAATGTTTCTCAGAATTAATCCAGAGTAATTTGAAATTCTTTATCAGGAAGCCTTGCAACATTTAGCAAAACTTATTTCGAATAGTCTTTTATTGTTGCCGAACAAAACTGCTACAAAATATATATATTGTGTATTTGTACTTTGATTTGAATGTTTTATTTTTAGTTAGCTAAGATAAAAACAGTAAAGCAGTACTGTACTCCTACAGCAGTAGAATCCCTTTACAACCACATTTTGAAAAATCTTCATTATAAAAAAATGTTATTAAATCCAAATTGAATGACATTGAGGTCATTGGACAAAAAAAAAAGAACAAATTCATTGTAAGCATGAATTTGTCTGGAAATTCAGCTCCATGATGAAGATTTTGGGAATCAAAGATTCTGATTAAGAATCCTCAACATTATTTGTTAACAATACGAAGACTTCTCATTTGCCAATTGTCAATATCATCAAACATTACTAAGAAAAAACTTGAATCCATCTACTCTTTGATCCAAGAATCGAAAAAACAAAAGACTGTAGATGGAAAAAATTCCCATACATTTAGAATCTTCATGAAAACTTCATCACTCACTTGTAGGGTTTGTATCCAAGCCATTCGACCATTTCTTTGATGGCCACAAAGAACTTCTCCTCCTCCTTTTCCGGGTTCGTATCATCGTATCGCAAAAAACACAGTCCGTCATGAGCCTTCGCGAATCCGAAATTCACGTGAATCGCCTTCGCGTGACCAATGTGTAAAACTCCATTCGGTTCCGGCGGAAATCTCGTCCTCACTCTGCCCCCAGTTCTCGCCATATGCTCCTTCAACAATTTCTGCGTATTTTTCGTCACAACGTAACCATCCGTCGTGTGGTTCTTCCCGGGTTCGTGTAACGCCGTCATCGCCGGAGATTTCATGAGCTCGGACACAGTCTGCGACGTTTGGTCGCCGCCGCCGCCGCCATCGACATCATTCGCGGCGGCGGCGCCCTTTTTTGTCTCGACACCTTGTTTCGTAGTTTTCCCCACGGGCTTCGTTTTGGGTTTCGGCGCCAAATCGAGGGCGGTTTTCGGGCCTAAAAGGTCAAAGAGTTGGACGTCGAGTTCGTTTTTGATGTCTTTGCCGTCGCCGAACTTGAGTTTGGCACGAGCAGCTGCCAAAAGAGATCCGACGTTGTACCCGTAACGGTGTTGAAGTAAAGCTTCTCGGTGTTGGCTAATCACCTCGGAAATGGTGTTTTGAACGTCCTCGGAAGTCACTTGAACTCCTACACCCACAGCAGCGTCAAACTTTTCCCGATCAATTTCCGGACTCAAGTGATCCATCAAATAAGCCAGTGCAAAATTCAGCTTCGCCTCCGAGTCAATTTTTCCCGAAGAAACGTAGGACGCGAGGAGAGGAATGTGGGCGGAGATTTGCGGCTTCGCCCGAGTGCCAATGTGGTACAAAAGATTGCCAACGAGCTTCGGAAAGGGTTCCGGTGCAACGAGTTTCGATTCAGCCCGAGCTGAGGAAATTGCGGATAAAATTGTTGACGTCACCGAGCGGTTTTTCAGGGTTTCCTGAGCTTTTTGCTCGGAAAGCCCGATTGCAAGGAGTTCCTGTAATTCTGCCATTCTAGCGGCACAAAAAATAGACAAGAAAAACTTGATCACCTTTTTTCTCCCACAGCATAAAAATGAATACAGTAGTACTGTAATACGTTTTGTGACCAAGTGCAGAATTCTCATGCGAAATCCCAAATGGATGAACAAGATACCCAAATAAAAGTCCCATGAAAAGTACGACTTATGCAGTAAATGATGAATTGTGCACTTGGTCTTCCCCCAAAAAAATGGACCAATATTTAACGCAATGAATCCGATTTTAGGCAAGAAACCAAGTACGCCGAATTAAAGGAAATGGGTTAAGCACATAAAGACAGTGAAAATATCATCCTTTGTTCTCCGGTTTGATGCCATCGTCGAACAAGTCCCCAAAATCTGTTGGGGGGAAAAGGGAATCATAATAATGAGAAAAAGCAGAAACAATGACTGAATTTAAAATAGACACGATTAAATTGCAAATTGAACTACGGTCCTTACCATTGAAGAAATCAGCGTGAACAGCTTTCTCGTTAGCAGTCAATTCAAACAAAAGTCCACTCGATCCACCAGCCTGACAAATAAAAGATCAATATACTGTACAAATTTATATTCAATGAACGTTTTTACTCCTTTAACCCAGGTAAAAATTAATCTTGCAAAAATACAATAGATCAAATTTCTTCAACGCACAAAAAATTTATTCACAAAATTGTATTATTGACGAAGACGGCGCAACACAGAAAAGTGAAAGACATTTCTCCTTTGTGGTGAAAGATTAATTTTTTTTAAGGTGATAGTGAGTTTATGAAATTCGCGGGAGCACTTTGATCAGATGTACTTATTTGTGATTAATAATGCTTCAACCCTTTAAAAAATAATTCAAACATAATTTAAAAGTACAACCGACCAAATTGCTCGCGAAAATTTCGTGAACTCACAAGAAAATTCTTTTAATAACGAAATCAATTGTTCTCTATGAGAAATAATGCTTCCATTTTCCGGCATCTTCGCGAAAATGAAATTTTGTAATTAATATTTTTGAAAGTTGGATTATTTCCAATTTTAATCTGTGGATACGGAATATGGAAATATCAAGATATTACCTCTTCAAGATCCATATAAGGACTACAACCTTCAGGGAACATTTCGTCCACAACGACAGGCGATTTTTGCCAAGACGCCTGAGGGAATCTCTGTCGCGACATCACACAAAACTCACTGGATTTATCAATCTGCAAGCATAAGAATAATCGGCCATCAAATGAAAAATTACTACAGAACTCAACAGCGTTACAAAAATTGTTCTCCATCACTCGGAAAAAACAGTAAACGGCCACCGTGGTAAAAATTCAAATATCTCTGGCCAGGTTTTCTATTCGCACTCTGGTTTCTTGCAGAATCATCTTCCTTTCCATGGGTCGCAAAATGTCCTTCGGCTGCAAAACAGGAGAAAATCAGGCATTTCAAGATTTATTTCCGTGATGGGACAAACTTTTCCATCATCTCTGGAAGTTGATTCTCGAAACTTAAGGTAGGTGTCGCGCTTTTCATTGACCTTGAGTTAACCCAACCCAATTTTATGTGACTGTCATGAAAACGAACGACATCTACACAATGCCACAGGAAAATATCAAAGATGGCGACGTTAAACGAAAGGGGTAGAAAAAATGGCCAAGTACTAACCGGAAACCTCTCAGCAGATTCATATGCCATGACAATACTGGTGTCTGTGAGGCTCTCAAAATTATCTGCAAGCACCACGATGCAATTCCTCACTCGTGCAAAAATCTGCCGATCTTCTTCAGAGAGCACCTGGGCATCGGAAAAAAAAACAACTTCAAATCAGCAGGAGAATAACGGAAGTACTGTGTTCATATCAAGTCCAAAAAATTCACATCCGTTGCTTTAAAACCAAAGAATTATAAATTTTCACGAACATCTAAAACAATGGAGTAAAAACTTCACGAGTAAATCAAACTAGTTGGAAAATTAAACAGGCTCAAATTGTATCTTATTTTGTGGTCATGAAGGAGGTTTTCCTTTGCAGGAAATCATGTAAATTCCAACTTGAAACCAAAATTTCCCGACATCAGCCAAATTCATAAAATCCTCTAAAGAATAAAGCTGGAAAATTCAACTCACAGGCAGTTCACTAAGCGCAGAAACGCCTTCTTCCTCGGCATTTTTACCCGTCATCGGAGATATCCATATGTAACCATTGTTTGAAAGAATGACAGTGACTCCGCAAGGCAAACGATGGAAATGCGTTTTTCTTCTCGTCACCAGCCCAGGACTCACCTTGACCATCAATCCCAGTCCAAGCTAAAAAAAATAATATAAATTTTAAACCATGCGATCACTATACTGTGCAAAAATATCCAGTTTGGGGTCAAGAAGTAATTTGAAATATCATTATTCAGGCACCGTAATTAAATTTAAAAACTCAGATTGCAATTTCATGCCCAATGCAACATTGGTCATCGCACTCTTTACAAGTTATGCATTTTTTGATTATCCCGGTTTACTTTCACTGTCTGCAATTGATCATGAACTGCTTGGGCACGTCCAAAATTATAAAAGGAGTGTGGACAGTCTTTTGCTATTCATTTTTTTCGGCTTTGTTTCGAACAGTGTTGCAGAAAATATACATTATATTAATTGCTCATATTTTGTAAAGCAGGTCCATTCGTTTAATAAGACACCCTGGTAATGAAGAACTGAAACCTCCTCTTCACTTCTTGTTCATTCTCTTGGTTGATTTCAGGTGAGCAACTTTAGAACCAAAGATATGCTTTCGGTGGAAGAGTTTTGTATTTGGGTAAGAAACGAAATACTGCATCAACAAATAAGATGAAAATGCCTTTGTAATAAGAATCATCCTCTTAGTCGAACTCAGTGGCACCAAAAATCTTGCTTGACAATACATGACTGCAACACACCAGGAACAGAGTTACTCTTCTGGAAATATTCACAGAAAAAAAAATCTGGAGAAGCTACAAGTGAAAAAAAAACCGCAACAAAAAATATTTAAAAAATACCTACTTCCCGGGAAGAATGCATCGAAACCAGCTAGAAGAAAAAAAATAAGGAGCTCCAATAATTTTCAGATGAATTCGGAAAAACACGTAACGTATTTCGTTTAGCCTGAATACATTAAATAAACGGAATGGCGTATTTTTTGGCAAAGATGAAACATTAGACCGACAGAGAAACTCACACTTAGAATGCAAAAAAAAAAAAAAACACGTTCGACCTCACCTTTCCGTACTTGTCACTCCTGGCTTGCAACTGGATTGTTCCGTCAGACAAAATATTATGGATTTCGGCAACAACCAAGTCCCCCTCTTCCAGGAAACTCCGCATCGAAATCTCATCCTCCATCGTTTTCCTTCTCTACAATTCGAAAAGGAAAAGCACCCGTCAACAATTTCTTATGAATTAAAACAATGATCAAATCAATTTGCATGCAACAAGAAACGTACTTGAGCTAATCACTAACGTATACTGTACTCTTTGTCTAAATGGTATACGACTGTAATTCGGAAAAAATTTTGACATCAACCTCAGCAGCTTTTTCTTCAATCCACAAATGGCGAATAATACAAAGAGAAGAAATTAAATTTATTTTTCAAATGACAAAACAGAAACAAAACTCAATGGATCGCGGCTCAAGCTTAATATAGAAGCAAAAGAAATTTGAGTATAACAAAGGAATATTTTTAAAAATCAGGATTTGGAAAGATTTCTCTCGCGCCTCTCAACCAAAAATGTTGGAAGGGTTTTCATAAACTTAAATCAAGATCATGTGATTGCAATTTATAAGATTACGTCGAACAAGATATTTCCTACATTCAACCAGCGAATCAATTACGCACTTCAACTTCGAGACGCGCCGCAATTTCTTGCAAAGAGTAGCGTCATGAATTTAAAAATGCTTGAAAGTTGGTGCTAAGGTTCAATTTATCTAATAATATCAATTTTTCTTGGAAAGCGAGGAAATATGCACTATTTGGAAAGAAGCCTCACGTTTTCAGCGCCGGGAACAATAACAGAAGCCAAAGGCAAAACAGCGTCCATCTTAGAATTCACGTCTACTTTCCATCGTTTTGAGCCAACCTCCGTGATTCGACCCACGACCACGTCTCCAACTTCACCCAAATACCTTCCAATTCAAGAAACGCGATTATTTCATTAAAAAATTGTTTTCAAAAACCATAAAAATAAATGGTTTTCCCGTTCAACGGACTCCATTCGCCTCAAAGAAAAGTTTGTTTACGACGAAATTATGGAATTGCTCGCATGAAAACGGCAATGACACAATAAACCACAGCCGTTATCTTTGGAAAATTTTTAATCTGCTTCATTCGGTCGGCAAAAGCTGTCCTGATATTTTATAATATCGCTCTTTTATCAAGTGGAGTAAAAACCTACCAAGTCGTCGTAAAAACCTAAGAGGTCTTTTACTTTCTTTAGTTGAATGAGATACGATCCGTAAGCAGTAGTACAGTACTTTTGGTATTCTCGTTTTTAAAAAGTAATTCCAGAAACGAACTTCCTATGCCTGGAACTGAAAGGATATTTACAGTGTGTAGTCTTTTATTGTTGTCGTTTTGCCTTTTGTTGCAACTCGTGTTAGTTTTAGGTCTTTTTTTATTGATAAGTTAAACCTTTTTAGCTCGACACTATATTTTAAAAAGTGTAATTTGAAGCTACATTTTCCCTCAAGACCATCATTTCTTAAACACTACGTTGTCCGAAGCAAAACTCGTCGACAGCGAGAAACCCCTCCTACGCAAATCATTCGTTAACCGACTATGTCATTAATTCTTCATCTTGTTACTTGCGTGAACCTTTTTTCGCCAAACTGCACGAACTCCGCTAAGTGAACAGAGTGTTGAGGCCGATACGACCTTTCTTGGGAAAGAGGCAGAAGCTTGCAGCCGTGACCTCTATTGGGAAACATGAATGATTTGAGGTCAATACAGGTAAAGGTAGCCCTTCGGATTCGAAATTCAGCAATATGTTTCCATGAATTTCGAATGGTGCTTTCGGAATGAATTTCGCTGACATCGGCTGGTGATAATATACAACCAAGGCAGAAACCTCCTCTGAGGACGAATATTCCAACATCCCACGCAATACGAAGTTACATACAAATGCTCTGACAGAATAGTTCTGAAGTCGACGTCAAGTGACATCTCTCGGATACGGTGCGCATTAAAAACTGGAGACAAAGCGCAGGTGTCGCCTCAATCTTGAACCCGTCCTCTCAAAAGAACTTCGATTAAAAAAATAAACGCTGCCTACCTAAGTACAACCTCGTGTCCCATTTTGCCACTTCGCACGCATTTTAAAAATAAATAAATATGGAACAGCATGAGCATCAAGGTTAGGTTACATAGATACAGTACTACAACTTCTCCAACAAAAATCTCCACAATTCGAATTTCCAGTGAATACCAGACCAATATCTTCAATAACCATGTATTTCAAACCTCCCGAAATAAAAACCATCTGGATCTAACCTTAATTAATCAAAGTTGTTATGGCCCTCGTGTCACAAACTGGGGAAAATTTAGGAGCACTTGCTGCAGAAAATGAATAAAACGTAAAAATCTTGCTTTTATTACTTTACAAAAAGACAATTGTTCGGAGGCATGAAAACTGAAATTAATAAAATTATTCAAATTTTGCTAGCTAGTCAGGAAGTGAGCAAAATTTGAGTTGCAAAATTTGATCTGGACAAACAAACAGACAACAAAGTGAGTTCATAAAAACATGGTAAATACAGTACTGCACACGGATTTTTAACTAATATAATATCTCCTGATTGCTTCTTTTATGCATTAGATGATATATAGTTTCTTGGGCGAGTTTCCATCATTTAATTCCAGTACTTCGTTATTCTTCTTTCCTGCTTAAAGTTGTTCATCTTCCTTTTCTCGTGCCACTTTTGACGTATGAAGGAAGCTCGTTCGAATCATACATGCGTTCGAACTTCGATGGCGAGGATGAAAAATCTAGGTGCTGCATCCTGATTAGAATTGCTGACGGTGACTGTTTAGATGCCTGCACATATAAATGGAGAGATATTTCTTTCTTCCGTCCGACGCTATCGCAACAGGGAATCATTTTAGAATGGAGATGATACAAAAACCCAACACGTTAACAGTTCAATTATAAGTCGGAAAGACTGAACGTTAATATGAATCTCAACACAATGCATACATGCGGCCACTTGAACTATATTGAGAAAAGTATGCGCACCAATTTCTCACGATTCCCACGAAGCAAAAAAAAGACCACACGCGAAAGTTTCCCGGCGATTTTCAACTTGATCCATGCGATGATCTCACTGCTGAGAACACCTCTGTAACTCAACTGACCTGTCAATGAACTGCATGAACACTCTTCCCAAAATGCAGGAATCCTCAACTCCGTGAATGTGGTTCGGCCTCCACGTTCGGGACTTCAAAAGGAGTTCATGAGAAGATATCGCTTTGATAGTCAACATGCCACCAAGCTCCGAACAAAGGAGACGAAAGGCGACACCTGGAGAAGGTGCGCCAATTTGCACTTGGCGCGCCTTCTCCAGGTGTCGCCTTTGCTGTGTTGTGGTCATTAACTCTAATTACTCTAATTAAACTGCTCATAGTGTGCCAAAAAGCACAAAAGATTGCATTGTCATCAGTTTAACTGGGGAAAATTTAGGAGCACTTGCTGCAGAAAATGAATAAAACGTAAAAATCTTGCTTTTATTACTTTACAAAAAGACAATTGTTCGGAGGCATGAAAACTGAAATTAATAAAATTATTCAAATAAATACGCTGTAAATTCGATAGTCCCGATAAACACAGACAAATCAGACCATATTCCCAAACTCAAAACCTCCATATGTCAAAATTCGTTTCGGAGTCCATTCAAAATCAACTTCCGTTAGGTTCAACTGTATAATTCGCACGTCAACTCAAAAATGAAACCAACCTTATAGTTGCAGCATCCAGACACACAACTTCTCCAGGCATGACCACCTGCAGTCCCTCTTGCAAATATTCTTCTGCCAAATCCAACGCGTCTTCTTCAGCATCTTTGAATTTTTTCTGCACAGCCACTTCGAATCGAAACTTTCCACCAAATGACATTGTTGCACACGTGCGAGAGTTCTGCTTAATAAAAACAAATATAATCAACACCTTTCTTTCAGCAAAACGGATCAGGATAAAAAATTCAAAAAACAGCTTCCCCAGCAAACCAACGCTCAATTTTTTTTTTCCAGCGGAAGAAAACTTCAACGTAAAAAAAAAGAAATTGTTTCCCAGAGAACATTCACACGAAGAATTCAGCAAAAGCCAAGATGAAATGTTTACTAAAGTTTGCGTTTTCAGAGAAAAAGAATTTCGCGGATGATTTATAAACGCTTTTCCAAGAAATCTCACGAAGAAAAAAGGAATATCGATGCCTCGCTCATTACTCAAAAATCTTGATTGCCTCATACAATACAAACTCGATACGATTCAGTTGGAAAGCAGTCTTCCACACTCAATCCGCATGAAAACGTTCCAACATCAATTCCACACACTCAAAAAGAAAACAAAAATTGCCCGAATGACGGCGTTTAAAACGCATCACACTCTCAAAATATTCGGAAGATCACTTGTCTTTTCTTCGAAACTCGAACATCCAGTAAGCATTTTCGCAAAATCTTGTCGAATGGCAAGCAGGTGCATCTCTGACATGAAAATCTTCACGATTTTCGCAAACGTCCACTTCAACGTTTTCTTCTATGTACTCACTTCAACTCTAAACACTAAAAAAAGGACAGAAAATGGATTATTTTTTTGCTTCACCAGAAAAGCAAATTCTTCTTATCACAACAGAAGGTGCCTCAAAAGTTATCTTGCAGCAAAAAACTCAGCATTTTCAGTGCTTCAAGCCTAAAATAAAACAAGTTATTTGCAAATACTGTACATTGTGAAGGTTCCAAAAGAATTGCTAAAAGCAGGGAAAAACTATGCAAAAAATGGCATACAACACTTGACACAATTTTCCCCGCAAAATGATCAAATGGGATGAATCAGTGCATATTTTAATTTCAGTGTACCTGCCAGCGACATCTACACACACCTGAACAACTTGCTGCTGTAATGGACACTACAAATCAACTTCTGAAAACACTTCATCAAATGACACCTAATATTTCTGTTAAAAAATGAAGATACTTTGACTCACATTCAACAAGAAAACAACTGCTGTATTTACTCAAGTACCACATGCCATCAAATAAGATGGGCACCAGTGTTTTCCAGCTCAAAATTTTGATTGAACTGTATCCTTAAGCAAGACATTCACCGGAATCCTTGTAACTCCTTTATTGCAATATTTAAAAAATAAGAAGACAATCTGGAAATAAGAAATAAGAAGAGTTGAATAAGAAATCAAGAAATAAGAAGAGTTGAAGAACTCTAATTGAACCTAAATTCCACTGACTATCTCCTCTCAATGTTGAATGAAAAAAGGTGTGTCTGGTACATGAGTAAATACAGGAATACACGAACTCTCTACGACAAAATTCAAGGGACCAGAAAGAATTTCTTTTACAGAACCATAGGGACAAAAAAAAAAGCATTATACAGAGAAAATTGTGGTAGACACGATAATTTCAGAGAAAGTCCTCCTGTAGTTTCTTCAAGGTTTTAAATTTTAAAAATTCAGGGAACTAAATCCACAGAAAATACTACACTATGAAGGATTGATGTGCCTCACATTTCATATTCCAAAGCTGCAGTGGATGTGCTCGCATCCTGGTACTCAGGGTACAATGTGACTGAAGCTTCCACAGGGGCAGTGTCCATTTTGACCACAACCAGGGACTGAGTCCCGTTCATGATGGGGAACTGCTTGAGGGCGCCGGTCCAAATAGCTTTACTAATGTGCTTGTTCGAAGCTCCGTTCGAATCCCCGTCGGAAACGGACATGGGCTCATTCTTGATTTCCATCAAAACCGTTTCCCCAGATTGCTGAACGGGGACTTGCATCGGGGCAACGATCAGATGGTGTTGGAGATCATCCACTCCATCCAAGATCAACTGGGACTCCAAGTCATGAGGACCGACCTAAGAAACGAACGATTCCAAGTTTTTAAAATGTCGTCAAGTTTCTACAGACAAACTTTTCTCTGCATTCAGGAATTCAATTAAAAAAAGTGTTACTGCCCGAGACACATTAAAATGTTCACAACGTGTTTTTAAGGGAAATGAAGTTTCGTGCACTGTAATAAATTTCAAAAATGACAAAACTTTTTGTAGGAACGAATTAAATTCGTCATACAAGGCTCCCCTGCATTTGAAACACTCGGCACAACTTCATAAACACGCTTAAACGCGTGAAAAAAAAAATAGGAAGGTAGTATCAATTTTTTTCATCGGCATTTTGATAATCTTCCTCACCCGATTTCAACTGGATGAAAAAAAAAAATTTTCATTCATCTCCTATTTTCGAATTTTTGACGAAAAAACAATGCAACCATACTTTAATTTTCAAAAAGATCCTTGCACAAATGAAGCATAATACAGTATTTTAATTAAAAATACGATACAAAGATCACCGCTAGATCAGTACAGTATTTGAAGCTTAATAATTTCACCTGAACTTCTTGTTGAGGCATCAAGTGAACAATGTCTCCGACTTGCAGTTCGTGGTGTGTCAAATGATGCTGTTCCTCTTGTTCCGCAACAGCTTCCACGAGTACTTGGTTTTCCTGCTTCACGTGCTGCGTACTTTTCCGTCGCTGAGAATGCATCCGACTCACGTGAATCGACAGCTTCTGCTGCAATCGGAATGTCTTGCCACAGTGCAAACAAACGTGCGGTTTTTCGCCAGTGTGCAAACGCTCGTGGTTGATGAGACGCGATTTGAACTGAAACTCTTTGCCGCAAGTTTGGCATCTCCATGTTTTCAATGCGGGAACCTGTAAAAGATGCAATTAACGCACGTTATTTTCATTTCAACGTTCACCACATTAATGTACAGTCAACCCTTGATTTTAGTACCGCAAATTTCCAACAAACAAATATGACTCCACATCGTTTTCAACAAAAACTGCTATTTAGTGCCAACTCACTCGTTGAAACAAAAACGTCTTATCCCGCATGAAAATTGTGCCAAAATAAAATAAAAACATTGCCTTTTTACAGGTGTATGATTGAGCTATAACTGGGAATCAAAATGCCCCCTCACATGAAAACTCAGGATAATCTTAAATATTCAATTTTTGAATCCGAGTTGTCAAAATTATTTTGTTGATGCATGATACCTTCTTAAATTTGTATTTTTATAAATACTGTACAATGGGAGCTTTCCCGGAAAAATTGGGGATTTCTGAAAGTTGGCGCCTGATATAAAACTAAAACGAAATTTTACACATCAGCTTTGATCTTTTACTGGAAAAATGTGCGCAAACAAGTATTGTCTTCATAAATATGTCGAACCGCAATAAAAAAAACAATTCATTTTCCCTGAAAATTTTTTTCACGGCTTTCTCTCTTAAAAAAAGATTTCAGTGGTCTAAAATATCTGTAAACAAGCTCGCCTTGCTCACAGCAGAAACCCTCAGCTGAACTTCTTCTCATACACTACTCTCAATTTAGTACCACAAAATGTGTCGGGACAAATTATGGCACTAAATCGCGGCTTGACCGCAATTTTCAGAAATAGGTGTTGTTTGAATCACAGAGAATTATAGGTCAATTTCAGTTTACACGATACAACAGGCGACACCTACCTTGAATACTATGAAAGAAGACAAAGTAAGGCGACCGAAATATCCATCGAAGCAAATATATATTTTTTATATCACTCACTTCAATTTGATGAACATCCCGCATATGAAACGTGAACATCTGGGATTTCCAGGATCCGTAGAACATTTTCCCACAAACGCTACACGGAAGTCCAGAGCGTTTGTCGATTCCATGCGCTTTCAGCAAATGATTCCTCAACACAGGCTTGTATCTAAACTTGGCGTCGCATTCAGAACAATTGTATTTACACTCTCCTCCATGCACCACTTCCAAATGGTTCTTCCTCTCATATTCCGATCTGTGAATGTAAATTACGAGGCGTGTCAGAACCTTGCTTGGCGGGGGAAAATTGACTTCTGCGCGGGTAGAAGTCGCTGCAAATTGACTCACTCGCATATGTGACCGCGGTCCGGGGGAACATTTTTAGTTGGTATGGGTAGATGTCACTCCAAATTAAGACTCACCGGCATTTACGACCGCAATGTTCACATATGAAAACTCGTTCTGGGTCTTGAACCACATGATCACGTTTACAATGAGTATCCAATGCGGCTTCCGAATGCAACATAGCAGGGCAAACGGGACACGGAAAAGTGCCTGGATTCGCACTATGAACCAAATTCCGATGCAATTCCAGCATTTCGTGCGTTCCACTCAGTCCACATTCCTCGCAGACCTTCGCAAAGAAATTTTTAAATCGTAAACTAATCAAGGGGGAGAAAAAAGGAAGTGAGAACAGACCTGAGATTCTTCTCTTGAAGGCTTCGGAAGCCATTTCGACGGCGTTTCAGGTTTCGGACGTTTTTCTTTCCGCTGAGCGGGTTTTCTTCGGGTTCGCTTCTTCTTCTCCTCACTAGGATTCTCTCGCTCGTCTTTGAGGAACTTTCGGAAAGCCTCGGGCAAATCACTCAAGTCATCGAACGCAACTTCGAGATCGTTCTGGTCTTCATCTTTCACTATGTCGTCTGATTTTGATTCTTCGGATTTTGACTGGTTATCTGGCGGTGGCAGTTTCGGTTTGACGATTTTCCGCCTTGAAGAAATGTCGCTCATGCCAGCTTGAAATTTCTTCGGCTTCACGCGAATTCTTTGCTCCATATGTTCGTCGTTCGTCGGAAGAGCTTCCAAAACTTCATCAGATTCAGCAGCTGCGGGAAAAATAATAGATTTTTCTCTAATGGCAAAAACGGTCGAGAGAAAATCGCCACTGAGGAATTATTTTAATGAAATAATCAACACTTGGAGTCAGCATGAATCATCTACAGGTACGCTTTAATCTGAAATAGTCATGAGGGGAAACTTACAGAAAGGGAGCAACAATTCGGTCTTCTATCATTGGGTGATTTTTCTGACACGATTCCACTTACATTCTTCAGCAGCATGTAATGATTCCGCCGGCAAAGCGATGTCGCCATCCGGAAGATCGACTTGCTCAGTCGAATCTAGAGAAGATAGATCTACACTAAACGTCTCGTAGGTCGCACGGGCGACGCAGAACTTGTGCTGAATTGACGCTTTCGTACGTTGCAACTGCACTTGCAACTTGTCGGCTTGAAGGACCAGACGGTAACACGATTCACAGAGATACTGATCTTCAGGAGAAGATAGGTTCGAAAGCTTGCTCAGCGCTGTCGCCGATTCATCCACTTCCAACAAAATCTGCATCGTGAAGCTAACGATGGTATCGCCGGATGTTGGACAATTCTTGTCTTTCATTCTCCACTGACAGCGAGGAGCGCAACAGAGGAAGCACTGCCTCGAAGAAGGCTTTGATAGGCCTACACTTTCCATCTCCATCTGAAACGACGTAACAATAACTTCGACGAAAAAACCACACCATCAATTCCGCACACCGTAATTCACTTGAACGAAAGCCGCACCCTAATTTCAATAGATTACAGAGGATTGAACTGCGACAGCTCACGGCTCGTAGGACTCAAATACTATAGATGAAATTTCAAGTTCCGAAACCCAATTATGGTACTGTACTACATTTGAGGAACAAGGAACGAAGTATGAAGTGAATGCAGGACTTTTAAAGCTTCAACATTACATCGCTCACTTTCACTGGGGCAATTCATCGTGCCACGATAAACTTGCGATTGAACAACGAAATAAGAAAGACATCAAGAATATGCATGTACTGTTCCATTAAAACTAGACAATTAAATCACGTAAGATCAAGAAAGGCTCACTGGAGACACAGAAGTAAAAACGCACTGTTCGGAAGGATTTCACCGCACACAGCGAATATGGTTTCGACAAAATCGCTCGCACAGGGTATATTTCAACCCTTTCACCGGAATTTTGATGCGTTCAAAATACAGTACTTAAAAGTGTCGACTCACTCAAGATTTTCTTCAAAACACACGCGTCTGAAAAAATTTCGTGAATTTCGCTCCCGCAAGAAATTCTAGCATAGAAAACCATGCGGCAGGGAGCACCTCAACAAATACTGGATGTTCTCAAGTTCAATCCAAGCCAGAACAGTACAGTATGCATTTTCCGTTTTGGAACTGTATTTTTGATCTATAGACCTTTCAGAATACTGTATGTTCACAATACGGGTAGACTTCCTCTACCGCAATTTTGTTAACAATGATTTTTTCTGTTAACGTTCTTTTTGGTCCATTAGGGTTTTCTACTCGTAGGTATAGGGGATCCCTGAAAGAAATTTCTTCCTGGTTCCTTCGAAATTTGTTGTAGGAGTCCTCCACTATTTAAGGAGAGCAAATAATCATACATTTGCAGGAATAAAAAAATGAAGCATAAAAAGAAATGCAGAATAAAATCTTATTCTTTGAAATTTTCCTATGTCTTACTTAGATCATTTGTCAAGTCATTTACTTGACTGTAGCCTGCTATCTTTTCAAAAACTATATGCTAGTCAATGGTTAGAAGCAAAAAGCTCATTCATATTAGATGAGTGGCTGTGGTATTTTTCTCGACTTTTTTTGAAAGTACTGTGATGCAAACATGGATGGTGAAACAAGTATGTTTATTTGTTCTTCAAATCATTCAGATGCATTAAAAACTAAGCACTGTTCAAAATTCAATGCAGCGCATATCTTGGCAAAACAATAAAACAGAAAGTACCATCACTAAAAACAAACCAAACACAGGTTGTACAAACTCACAAAAATTATTTCAATCGACAATAAAAAAAATCAATCAAAATTCTTAGTGAATCAGGGTTCAAATTGCAACCGGATTTACCTTACATATCCCATAACTCTTCAAGCCTCCCAAATTTATACACCAGGGCTCCTGCAAAAATGAAAACACACTGGAAAAACAAGCCATAACCAGGCCACACAGGAGATTTACCAGGGACAATAAAGTCCCCAATGAGAATCCAGCAACTAGCAATCACTGAGCCAAAGCCCAGCATAAAACCAACCAACAACCAAATTCTTGCTCCAAAAGTCCCCAGGCATCCATCAGTGTAACCACCTCCTCTGACTTGGTTATTGGAAACAGCATTTATCATCATGAAACACAGCATCCCCATCACTCCACACACATGGAAACTATGATTGAATTCAGCCTGCAGATGTCACATAAAAAATCCATCTACACTGAGGCAATGGGAACACATATAATTATCTCACCTGAGTTGGGTAAATGGCAGCTACATCAATAATGAACCACCAACCAACTGTAACAAGCACACCTGCAATTATTGATGCAACAGTGTTCCTCCTCTCAGTAATTTCTGGGAAAGGACAGCTTGGCAGCTGAAAATTATCCAAGCAACCTGCCATTCTTACTTCACTCACAACTTCTCTGAGGAATAAAAAAGAAAAATACTGCACTCACAAATCAGAATCAATCACTAAAATCAGATAACTACTAATTTCTACAGTTCTTTCCACTCAGACACCCAACCTGACATCCAGACTTTGTGCTGGAAACACACAATTCCACTCGAATTGTAATCCTCCACAAATTATTCAATTCTTGGGAAGCAATCGTTTTTTTGGCTCGAACATTTTTCTGCAATGAACAAGTTCAATTTTTAATAGATTTCTGGAATTTTACACACAGTGCCAACCACTTCAGTAATTTTTCATTGCTAATTATTGAGGAAATTCCCTTTTCCGAATATAATCGTAAAAATCGCAGATTTCGAATTCCCACATTTTTGTGAAATGGCTGTCGTCAAAAATGGGAGTCCCAGCGGAAAGAACCATAATTTCAATAATAAAAATTCGCGGGATCGTTTTCACCGAGCTTCTTGCCCTCAAAACAAAAACCATCCATTGCACATGTCAGGAACACAATTATATCAGCAATGAACTTTCAGTTCAACGCTTATCTCAAAAAAATGAACGAATAAAACTTGGCAGTATTCGGGCCAGACAAATTGGCATAAATAAAAAATACGCGGCAAAAACGCAAGACTGTTTTTTGGCATTCCAGAAAACAAGAACATTTCCTCGGATTTCCGACTCAAAATAAACATTACAAAAGGGGGAAAAAAATAACAATATCAGCATTTTCAACTATCCGAGTTCAAACTTATGCTGGAAATGTCGTGACACAGCTTCCCTTCGTGCATATCTTCGGCCAGCGAATACAGGATATCCAATAATAATTCCCTGCTCAAGGTGTTGAACTTCGGCAACCTCGTCAGCAAAGGGAAATGGCGCACTATCAAGCTCAACGCGTGTTTCTTCATGTCCACAGCCTGGATCCTATCTGCTGCTTCCAAAATTTGAATCACATTCTCAAACGTGACGTTCATCTCAAGGTTTTGTTTACAGAAAGCCTGAAAAAAAAGGATAAAAAATTATTCAAAATCGGCATTTCCAAAGAATACAGACAAAAAAGAAACGGAAATTCAACCTGAAGTCACCAGATTGCAAAATAACCAACATATTCAACTATTTGTAATCACAAAACTACAAAATAAATTTCATTACATAATTAAATAATTTCACAAAAAATAGGCTAATTTTGTGCTTCTTTTTTCAGAGTTGTTTCCATCATGTGCATATGAAAAGTATAGCTAGACTTTTTCTTGTTCTTTGATTCCTGAGCTCCTTCTAATGCCAAAAGATTGCGTAGTTTTTTTTTCGGCACAGTTATTTTCTGATGTGTCTTGAAAGTTGAGAAAAAAAAAAAATTTCAGGGTCTATATTTATAATTTTTTCGATGAACAGAAAACGTATCGAATATGTTCCAGTGAAGTACTATGCGAAAATACGATCTGAGATACGGACAAGGTCCAAGCACCAATTACGTCCGCATCTCGGGGCCCCATTGTAAGCACTTGAAAACTCTCTCACCTGCAATCGGTTGTTGGTGAAACCATAGAAGTAAGGCGCAGAAAATAAATACAGCGAATCCTCGGGAGGCATGTTCACATCTCCAAAGTAAATGTATCTGAGCAGGGAGTCCACAGACTGTTTGGAAGGAATCATTTCCCCAATGGCAATCTGCAGAGCGGAAAAAAAACAAATCAATAATTTGAATATTACTCCAATTTTTACGGCCAAAATATACTTACATTGACAACATTGTTTTCAGGCTTGAAAGACCGGAACATGCCTTCAAAATATGAGCACCTCGCTGCCAAAATCGGCGCATGAACACAAATCGGCGATCCTTCCAGCATGAGCGTGAAATCCGCAAACTCTTGCCCACCATTCTTTAAAAACTCCTCCAAATCCTTCTCCAAGGTCATATCTGCAAAAGAAAAACCAATTTTGCCATATATTAATTAGAAGTCATTTAAAAAATAATGATAAACATACCATCAAGATTAGGATACGGATCATGCAACTGCCTTCCCAATTGAGCAGTTTGCCTTCTTCTGATGATCTCAACCATCAGTGCTTGATTCAAGGTCTCAAAATCAGCACTCATGATTATCTCGTTATAACTGTTGTCTCGGACAATGAACCTCAAGCAGTATTCCTTCAGAAATCCCAAGTTCAAAGAAGCAGCGTTGCTCACAGCAACCAGCACATTTTTGTGGTTGATCATGGATCCAAGATATTGGACGCAAAGGTGCTCAAGTCTTCTAATTTTCAACTGCAAAAAAGGAATAAAACCAACATTGTAAAATTGATATCCAGTTTATCAGTGTCAGACAACTTGAATCATTGCTCCCTTATTTTAAGGTGGACAGTTGATGATATGAAATTTTTTAGGGCAATACTTGATAAGCTCTCAACTTTGAAACAATTTTGATGTTTCAGATATTAATTTCATCATTAAAAAAAAACACTCAGCGAAGATGTCTCAGATCAGAGTTGGACATATCTGGAGCATTTCTGCTTAAAGTGAGAGTAGCATGGAAATGTCAATTGGCAAGATGAAAGTTGCCAAAGCAATTTAATAAAATCCCTAGCATACTCAACAGAGGTTTTCTGCAAGTCTGGGAATTAATCCTGATCTTTTGCCGGATTCCTTTTCAAGAAACTGGAGAGTAACTCAAGAATGCCATTTCATCAAAAGAAGCTCCTCTGCAAAAAAAATTATCTTTCAACAAGGTATTCAATGTTCTTACACAAAGTAAATATGAATTAAAGTGGTACCTTGAACAACAAATGAAATTTTTGCTAACACTATGTTGCTTTTACAAATTGATTTTTTAAATACACAAATCACGATTTCCCATAGACTTGGGGCAAATCAATTCATCTGTTCCAAGAATGCAATTTTCATTATTTCTATAATGGTCATAAAACAAGTAAAATTTTAAAGAAAATCATGCCCAAAAATTAGGTGTGATTGGAAAGGCATTCTTGTGTTCTTGGACATAAACGAGACCCCCTTACAAAAACTTTAAAAAATCTGCAATCCACACTTTCTGACCCAAAATCTCAATTCAAACACATTTTCTTAGACTTTTCGAGGGTCTTCATGTTAGAAACAATTCATTAAACGTGTACTCCCAACTTTCTGAACAAAAATCGAGATGAAATCCAATTTTCGACTTTTTTCTTAAACTTTCATAACAAGTTTTAAAAAAAAACACTTACGTCAACTGCAAGTCGGTAAACATCCATCATGGCCAGCACAACATCGTTGCTGTACGGGTCAGAAACTATGGACAAAGATCCAAAAAAGATTCCATGAGTGAACCCGAATACATCGAATGAAGAAGAAACCTCACATTTCTTTGTTGGATCGATCTTGTCCGTGTAGATGTAGTCCAGAACAAACCTGAAAGCCACTGGGTCAGCATCCGGCAATTGCACCACCATCTGGGAACAATGAATTTCCCTTCAAAAAATAATTCCAGCTTGACCAGCGATTCAAATAGAAGATACTCGATTCATATCCGCTTCAGCATACCTCAAAAATTCAACTTAATTGCAAGATAATTCTTCCAAATATCTCAACAAGCAAAAAATGTCCCATCAAAGTGACGAACTCCGAAGATGTCTCTTGAAAAACAACTCAACAAACGGTTTCTTTTTTTCATGAATTCAAGATTGCATTCCTTGTTGCGTAGATGTCACCTGGATCTGATTTACGCACCGTACCGCTTAAGCTAGGCTAACTTTTCGTAAGGGAAATTGGCTTTATCAATCTTGCGATTCAGGCGACACCTGCCCAACACTTCATAAACTCGGGCCCGCCGTTGTCCTGTCAATTCATGGATCGGACGCGAGTTTTAAAATAAAGCACAGTCGAGGGAAAATTGAATTATATAATATTTCATGATGAATCCGGGGAAAAGCTTAGACACGGAACAGAATGAATAAAACTCACTGGAACGAGATTTTTGCAGTTTTTCGTTTGACGCAATTTCTGCTTCAAAAATTCGCAACGGGCAGCAATCATACAGGCGTGGGCTTTAATTTCAACTTTTTCCGATCCCACAATGAAATCCACATCCGTGATTTGTCCGCTGTCCAAAAGCCTTCCGAAGTCGTCGTGCAACGTGCATTTCGGGTAACTAGAGAACTTGATTTCGAAAGAGACGGAGACTTATGAAAAAATACGCGACAACACATCGGGCGAAAATTAAAAACCACGGAGTCGAAAAAATTCCTCCAACCAGGAAATTCTTGCAATATGAAAATCGAAAAAATGCATTCCCCAAATGTAATACACAAGCACCAATTGATGAATGGTTCAAGCAACGGTTTAATACAAGGAATTTTTTACTTGAAATAAAAAAGGGACATTTGATGAGCTTTCAATTTCCAAGGTAAAAAAATCACGGGAATCCTTTCACCATGAATTTTGAACAGAAAAATGATTCGAAAACGAAAAACGCTTTGAAAAAATTACCTAGGGTTAAAAAAACATTTTGCGGCTTTTTCACGGATATTTCTCCTTTGACCGAAATAAAATTCAAGTAATGCAAAAATATCTTTTTGCATTTGTTGTTAAATTTTTCAAGACTTTAAGACAACCAAAAATCGTAGGTACAGCATTACTGAAACATTTTTGAATGAAATAAAATATTTCTTCTTCTTCTTGTCAACGATTATTTCCCTAAGAAAAGGAGAACTTATCTTCAAAAACAGTAAAAAAAAAAAGAAGTTTGAAAAATCACACATCACTCTTCTCAGTTCAACGAACCACAACTTTCTTTTCAACAGATTTCCTCATGAAAACACGAAGATATGCAATAAATGAAAAAGAAATAGTGTCCAAATAAAATACGGTACCTGAAAACGGAACATCTCGCCGCTCCTCACAATGTTGTCAACTGTTCCACCGAAAATGTACATGGCGTCATTGACGACCGCCGCAGCGTGGAATAACCTGCTCGTGGGCGCTTTGGAATCCGGCGCCGGCGTCACAACACTCCACGCCAACGTGTCCAAATCGAACCTGACGGAATTCCCCGACACGAGATATTACAACCATATCCTTGAAATTCATTTGAAAGTTCCTTTCCTTGAATATCAGACTTTTCCAATTTCCGCGCAGTTGTAGAGTATTATTCTTTATTAAGATAATTTTGAGACTCTCCACGATACGCTTTTGTTCACACGGTTTTGAGGAAACAAAGAAAGATCAGACACCACGTCATCACTAATTATCCTTTTCCACGCGTGATTCAAATTTCAATTTTCCTCGCAAAAACTAATTTAAACCTAATGTCTCAAAATTCAATTCCAAAGCTTCTCTCCAGAAATCCCTACATCGCCAAACAACAGGTTTAGAAAATATAATTTCAAATTTTTGTAAAAAGGCTGAAATTGGAATTTTTGGTGCTAAATTGTGCTCACCAATACTCAAATTTTTGATACGTACTAATGCTTGAAAAAGGCTTTGAAAACGCACAGAAAAAAATTTGAATAAAAAATGAAATAGAGAATCTCCCTGTACTGCAAATCGAAAAAATCCCCCAGACGCACATCACGAAAGAAAATTGAACAAAATAAACCTACGCATTCTCAGGATTGAAAAAAAGGTAGAGTACCTGTGCAAATCGTTGGCCAACGTGATGTCAGCTGTGCCGCCGAAAACGTACAAGTACCGATCGTGGTAAACCATTGTGTGACCGTATCGACGCGTGGGCGGAGGAGGACTCCCACGGAGAATGTGTTCAGTTGAAATTCTAACCCATCTGTAACCCATCACAAAAAGAAACCCTTCAAATCACAGTACCGTAACAAGCAAAGAATATATCTTTTTTTTTAAATTCAAAGTTAAGCGGAATAAAGAACCTTATTCATTTGTTCCATGCTTGAAAAAAAAGAACCAATAATAACTGAGTAAAGCTTCAAGAAATGGCAAATATGTTTCAATACTCCAGATGAAATATATTTTTCTTGTTCTCCATCCCGGTTAATTTTTCTTCCGAACAAATTTTATTTCGTAGGAGGATTTCCACGGAGAATGTGCTCAGTGGAAATTCTAACATGAACCCTTCGAATCACAGTCAAAAATACAAAATACGCCTCTTTCAATCTCGATCGAAGTTGAACTGAATAAATTACTGTACTCATTTCTTCCATGCTCGCAAAAAAAGAAAAAATTCAAATCCAGTAAAGCCCCAAGGAATGGCAAATAAGCTGGACGAAACAGATAATTTTTCGCGTCATGCCATGCGTTGAAAATTTTTTTCGGACCCTAAATTTGCGACCCATTACAACTTGAAAACCGCATAAAAAAAATTCGCGACTTACGTTCGAGTTTTGAAATAAAACTGGAACAGACTGTTGGTCATCTTGGCACCAGAATGTCCAGAGAAAACGAACATGCAATCCCGAGCAACTGCCACAGCGAAGTTGCAGCAAGTAGGTGGACACTCTCCGAGCTGCTGGATTTCCTCCCATCTTCCGGGTCTTCCATCAGCCTGACACACATGGACAGCAAATTTAGTCGAACGCGGAAAAACCGAAAAAGAAATTGACAAAGTAAAAATACGTGTTTTTAAAAAACAGTAAAATCAAATTTCATCGTTTTCTTTTTTCATAATTGCTTCCACTCTTGGAGGGACGGAAAAACGATTTTTACAGAGTCGCTTGAATCAAAAATTTTTCATTTCACATGAACAATAGAAACAAGATTTGGAATTCCGATTCAGAAACTCGGGCAAGACCACGTCACCCAACAACAATGATCAAAACTTTTCGATCACCCCTCGTATTTCCGGGGCAATTATTTCCAGGATATTGGCTGACCCCAAAATTGCAAAATCGAGAAAATTACTAGAGCAGAGAATTGAACATTAAAAAAAACAGCAAGGTTTAATCGTTCTAGTTCTTGAATGATTAAAAGTTCAAATTTCTCATAATTTCATTCAACACAATACGCCAAAAAACTTATACTTCAGGGTTTAAAATGAATCACTTCAGCCCTGTAAAATATACAGGTACGTTAATCTTTAAATAAATTTGGACCAAAAATGAAAACAAGAACGACTCGAGTAAATCGGTTAACACTGATAATAAAAACCCGCAAAAATTTTGAAAAGTCCTCACAGTTCTCGACAAGGAAACAGCCCACATGTCATTAAGTCGAGTGTTACCATCGTAACCAGCAAAGATCCACATTTTTGAATCATAAACCGCTGCACCATGAGCGGATCTCGCAGGAGGTAATCTAAGAAAAAAATCATACGGTACTTCAGTAATAGAATTCAGTATTGCAAATAAATAGTCTTGAAAAAAAACATCGTTCAACAATCTCACCCTCCATTGAACTTGTGCTCAATCCAATGCCCACTGGCAAAACGGTACTCGTACAAATCATTCTTGTTTGTCAAATTCGAATTCGAGTTGATGTCTCCAGTGTATCCGCCAAACACAAACATTGACGACTCAAATACCTGAGGAAGAAAGCCCGTAAAATACACGACGTCCCGTAGGATCCCAGCTGCCTCTACATTCGAAACAAAATCTAAAATTTGCGTTATACAGGGCGTTTAAAAAAAATAGAACACTGCCCTGATCATTGAAATCAAACTGCTTCAGTGGGAAGTTTATCCATAAATCAGCACCAATTGCATAATAAAAATTCCTCGATCAAGTAATGTCAAGCTGCGAAAAATTGCTAATCCTTCCTAGATTATTTTGAACTGTTCTATTTTATCCAGAAAATTCTTTCAGAAAAAAAAATATTCCTAACAGATTTTGAGCGGAAGAAAAACGCTATTTTTTCCAACACCCTTACTTTTCGCAAAAAGACAGAAAGATTATATTTCAAACGGCGTAATTATAATGGTCAATAACTTTCTGGACACCCCTTGGGCTATTTCAATATAAATCACATGCCATTAAAGGAAATGGAATAAACTTTGAGAAAAAAAAAACTCACAACAGCGGAATGATGGTAACGCGGTGCTGGAGGGTTGCCAACTGCAAAAGCTCTACCCCAACTCTTCTCTTTTACATCGTACCTAATGAGATCGTGAAGCATGGTTTTCCCGTTGTCGCCACCAAACACGTAGATGGCGTCCTTGTAGGCCACAACAGTATGTTTACTCCGCCTAAAATATAGATGCCATACAATGAAAACAAATTTAGTCATCAGCAAAAAAATTAATGGATGGCAACTAGTATCCTAGCTTAATTCAAAATTTAAAACTTTAAACAGATTTGTTGGAATTATCTCCATCAAAAATTGAAAGACAGTAAATTGGATGCAAAATTTCTGCTGTGAAGATCCACATTTATTCAACTGGTACATCTAAACCAACGAGTAATGCAGAGTTCGAAACTTGAAAGTCATGCAAATGAATGTACACCAGTGTTCCCCAACCTCTTTCAACCCACAGACCAGTAAATTTCCATAAAATTTCTGCTTTTCTGCTGACTGGCAAAGTTTCATGAAATTTTTGCAGACTCAGAAACTGTTTTCTGAAAGACTTTATGACAGGTACAGTATTTAAAAATTGTCTGCTCTTTCAAAGAAATTAAGTGCAGAATCAATGAAGCAGCTATAGCGGAATGTCTTAAAAATAATTAGAATTATGGGAGCGTGAAGAAAGGTTTCTCATAATTAAACATAAATATAATTTGTTTCAGCACGTGAAAATTTGTCTGAAAAGTTTTTAGGCAAAAAGCCAATTTTCATTTTTCATCAGATACTTTCAACTGCCATTGAGTTCCTGAAATTTCAGATGCAGATAACAGACTTTATTGTTACTGTTGATGAATATATTATGCTGAAGAAAATTTCCTGAGGCTTGGGAAACATTTTTTTTTTTGGACTAGCACTGGTCCATGGACCAAGGGTTGGGGTACACTGATATAGACCTGTCCTAATTTCAAATAATCCATCACATCTTGAACCACTCTACTCCATCAGATTCTGTACAACTCTAAACTAACCCAACTCGAACATATCTTTCCCAATGTACCCAGAACCATTTTAATTAAGCAAATATCCGTATAACCAATTAAACTGACTCCAGTTCTCGAAATAATATTCAAATCAATTTCTCCCAATATGAAAACTCACGAAGCAATGAGACATTTTCCAACATAAATTCCCGAAAAGAAAAAAATGCTGGAGTAGCCTCCAAAACCAAAAAAAAAATGCTGTACGAACCTCGCACCAACAAATTCGTCGCATTCCGGCATACTCGTCCATTTGTGAACAGTTTCAAAGGGTCCGAAACCCAGGGTTAAACACTCGGCCGAGTCCATCCAACTGGCGTCACTTTCCGAGTCCACCGGCTGAGCGGCAGCCATTCTCTCTCACTCACTCACTAAGTCCCTTCATCAATTAATTCGCGATTCAAATGAAAATCCAAAGGAATGCTTTTATTCAACAGTGAAAATCATCGCATAAGCCTTTTCAACGCACACGCGGTTTCTCAAAAGTCTCGCAAATCCATTCAAAAATATTGGCAAGGAAACGGGGATGAACCACGACAACCCCTTTGTTTCAAATAAAAATCATTCAATAGCAAATTTTCATCCCTGATTATATTCACCTTGATCCAATTTCGTGGAATTTCATTTTTTACTTAATACAGAAAAAGGTAAAAATCCCAGAGTTCTCGAAGAAAAATGCACCGTTAATTCACGAGACTTTCGCAAAACCTCTTCACACACTGTCCAGAAAATAAACTTTTCAAAACGCGGAGGAAAAACGAAATCTGTGCGATATTTTTATTCATTTCTCCAAAACATTTCCGTAAGTGTGACCCATCCCGATCCTACACACAAAAGGAACAAAAAAAATCACGAGAAAAGAAACAAAAATCCCATCCACACAAGGATGACCAACAAAAAAAAGTCGTTATCGAAAATACGGGCTACTCTAAATAAATGATTGGTTTATCCGCATTTTAAAGTTTCAACTGCCCGGAAATTCAGAAGCAAGATCCACACTCTCACTGTCAGCATGGTTGGCCCCGAACACCTTCAGTAAGGCTAATCCTGTGAACCGAAAATTCCTCAGGGTTTCATTCCGGTATTGCCATGCAAATGCGGCTCTTCATAATAATAATTACGAAGAAAAACGCTTTCTTCCAACACCCACGATTTCCTCATGTTTCTCCACAAAAGCAACAAAACATTTTATCCATAGTTTTTTAAATCAAGCAGCCACAAATCAGAGCAACACCCAGAAGAAGCCATGAATGTAAATTCCCGCAGAATATATGCACAAATGGCAAAGCAATTTTCTTGTCCTTCTGATCAATTCGATGCTTAGATCAGGGCATCGAATTTTACACCCAATTCGAAGTTTTCTTTCTTTTAATTTGTTTCCCACCACGACTGGGAACATTCAGAATAGCCACTCTTTCCTCATCTTGATCCTGACAAACTACTCGAGAAGGGAACATTACAGTACCCAAGCATCTCACTTCTGTGCAAGTTTTTCCTTTTTTACTCCGAAGGGAAAATTCTTTGGAAGTACCAAAAACCATATAATGAAACTCAGTCCATCCCCGTTGAACATTTTTCCGCGGATAAAAAACACCCAAATTTACGGAACAAAATTGTTTTCAACCCATTTGTTTGAAAACCACGTTATTTTCAATAATATGGTTCTTACAATTTTCAACAAAAAATTTGTCGCATCACCTCCCCACTGATTTCGGGGGACGGATATAAAAAAAGACGTCCCGAAACGTTAAATGCAGTTAACTCGAGGCTTTTACACACTCATATCTCCTGTCAACATTGTCAAAAAAAAACAAAAAAAATCCGGACACCTGATCCCACGAAGTGGCTATTTTGACCATTCCACGGCAACCCCTCAAACTACACAACCTACGAACCCGAAAATGAATAACACGGGCAGGAGAGAGAGAGAGAGAAAAAAAAACTCATTCACAGAGGAAATCGAATGAAAGATACCAATCAACAAAAAATTGGCGGATATGTTAGTGCAAAATATACATATAGCATGTAGTTACTGGACAGAGTGGCAGTCGGTCGCGGAGAAAAAAGTGAAATTCCTGCCAGCGACTATCTCGTCACCGCCTTCCCCAAAGTGACGTAGTCGTCGAAACTGATCGAGATCTTCTCTGACTGGTAACGAGTGAGACGAATGCTCTTGCGAACATCGTCAGTCACGTTTCCCTTGAAGCCGCCTTTGCGGAGTAAAGAATCAATCGTCTGATGCTTGTCCCACCCTGGAAAATATAAATACTTAATTTTCACGCACAACACCTCGAGGAGACACATTCACTTTTCCACTAGTGCACCGCATCAAAGCACCAAGAACATCGAGTTGAGGAAACAAGCACTTGTCTTGAGGGAGGAAAGCGAGAAGAATTACAGAAAAATTGCCATTTTTGATATTCTAGGCCATTGTTCCCCAACTTGTGGTCCACGGGACATTTTCTTCAACATAAATGAATTCATCAGAAGTAGCAATAAAGTCTGTTATCTTTATCTGAAATTCCGATATTGGCAGTTGAAATTATCTGATGAAAAATGAAAATTAGCTTTTCACCTAATAACACTTCAGACAAATTTTCACCAGCTGAAATAAATTATTTTAATTTATCATTCTGAAAAACCTTTCTTCAAGCCAACCTTTCAAATTTTTTTGAAAACATTCCACTGAAGCTGCTTCATTAGTTCGCAACACAATTTTTCCAAAAAAGCAGCAACTTTTAAATACCTGCCTTACAGTCTTTCAAGCAAACTTTTCTGAGCTGGCAAGCATTTTTCGATACTTTGCCAGTCCACAGATAACTTTTTCCAGTCTGCAAAAAATTCATGGAACTTCGCTGATCCATGGGCCCAAAAACGTTGGGGAACACTGTTCTAGGCCATGAATTGTTTCTTGAATGAGTTGACAGGATGCAAAACGTGGAGGCACGGGTTTATTAGCCCAAGTAGTCTTTCACTTCCTCTCATAACACATCAATATTTTTATAGCTTTCTTCTTTCCTGTGTCAATAAAATACTGTATAGTAATAACCAAAATGCCTCCAGAAAATTCGAGCTTGAAGAGGAAAGCCCTCGGAGGTTTTTCGTGCATTATTTCCACGGGACTTCAGACTCGAAACAAACTTCGAAAAAAGGAAAGTCGAGTTATCAAGGTTGAACTGCATTTTACCGAAATCACGTTACGTAAACATAGGTTAGAACAGCGTTCGAAGACTTTTTTTTTCAATCTCTCACGAAAACACCTCGTAAAAATTTAAAACTCCACGCTCGGGAAAAATCTCGCGTACTTCCATCTCGAAACGGCCTCACAAAAACTGCAAAACTCACCTTGGGATGGAGCAACCTCAGGCAGGTAAGTGGCAGTTTTACGACTCCCTTTCTCGTTGAAAAACTCAATACGGATTCCGTGTACCCCGATTTCCCAGTCCAGGAAATGGTTCCCGTCCTCGAAATGCAACAAGATGGAGACGGAGACGTGGAGCTCCGGGATCTCGTCTTTCTTCACAGGAGGGAACCGACTATCTTTGAACGCGCTCGTGATGGCGTATTCTCTGAGTCCAGTATGAAGATGCACGGAATCAAACGTTCCCATGCATCCCCGAAGTTTTTTGTCCTTGCCGATCCACCACGTTACGAAAAGCGGGCTGGGAAATTCATACCGACAACGAAAGACTTGGTGAAAATGCGAGAGTCAGAAGGGAAAAAGACACCTGGACGAAGCAAGGAAAGCAGCACCACAAAATAACCCAGCATGAAAACCATTTTTTTGTGGTTCTCTTGTACGCCACAACAGTTAGGGAGAAAGGGGATAGTACCACTCAACTTCAGACGCTAATTCCCCTGTGGCGCTGTTTTGCTCTGGCTCCAGTTTTCACAACAACAAAGTCGGGAAAAATTGAGGAAGAAATTTGAAACGCAAAAATTTCTCTCCATGCGATGAGTAAACGACTAATCACAAAATGTACGGCGAACACCTAAAAACAGGGAGAATTCGTGTACATGGAGTGCACAGTGGAATTTGTTTGTTCGACAATACGTCCCTGAAGTCCACGGAAATCATTTTTCGTGAAGACTTTTTCCCCCAGTCACGGCGAAATCGTTGCTGAGTTTCGAAGAATACTGTACTCGCAACTGATCATTCAGAACTTGTACAGAACGACACAAAATGTACATCAAGCATCTAAAAACCTGGCGATTTGTGCGACGAGACACGAAGTACAACTACTCGTGTGATCCCAATCAAAAGTACTTTGGCCCCGAAGGTCAACGCGAATCATTTTTAACGAGGACGTTTTCTTCTCCCATTTACACTGCGAAATCGTCGTAGAATAAATGAATAGAGTACTCACAATCGATCATTCGGGAACTTGGGATGCCTCGGCGGGTCGGCGCGGTGCAAGTGAGAGTAGAGCACGTCAAAACAATATAAACCCATTTCGGGATGAGCCACGAGACAGCCGGCTATCACTGAGCGACTTGGCCCGGCGGAGACCACGAGAGCCGCCGAACAACAAGCGCCATTCATCGCAGATTTGTCAACACCGTTGACTTGGTGGCCGTTGGTCTTCGAACCGGAATGCACAACACATTGGTGGTTGCTGCCAGCGGAGTCGAGCGTCCGGTCGCAGCTGTGATTCAGCTTTTGCTTCTTCGCACCACAACACGTGGGTACAGATGCACTCCGGTCCATGTTTCACGCGGAAAACGTTGCAAAACTTTACTGGTTTCCTTCCGAGTCTCGAGGTCAAGGATTAGCAGCAGGTTGATGGCAGTCCGAAGTGAACTTTTCACTAGCCAAGGGTACAGAAATCCGGAACGAAACGGTCTATTTCAGGAGTTCCACCGCCGTTTTCACGAATCCCTTCGGACTGCGCAAACAACCTGGCGAAACCCTGAATCACAAAGATTGTCACACACACACAGCTGATCAATCACTAGGACATCATTCATCAATCAAGACTTTTATTCAACGAAAGAAGCATTCGCCCTTTCTCGGAATTTCTCCAATTGCCTCGTTCACTCAGTTAGATCACCAATCAAAATAAAATTTGGATCGACAGATCCTTATATCGGATAAGAGACTCTTCCGTGGAATTTTTGATCACCTCACAAAGAACCCAAATACAGCATGAAAAAAAAATCACCTCTCCTTCTACTGCTGATCACAATGCAGTAGGCCTTGAGGGTATATTTATAATCCATGATTTCAAAGCTGCAGTCCACCAAATATTACTGTTCACTGATAATTGTGTGTTGATAAGTTGCAATTCATCATAATTTCTGCCTAATATGGAAAAAATTAAAGGATTTATAATTTAATTGTGAATGGTGCGGATTAAAGAAAAGTTGAGATTCCCATCCAGTAGAGGAATGTTCGGTACATGAAGGGCATGTACAGTGCGCTCAATGTTGAAATGTTCGGATATAGGCTTTAGAAACTTTATTATATTCTGAAAGTTTTCACATTACTCAATCCGAAGGACAGATAATTAATCACACTGATCATGACAGAATTCACTTCCAGAGTGGGTTGCAACCGTAGCTACACATGGATTGGGGATGAAAAATCGACACTTTTGATATTTCCCTCTAAAATACAGTACTGTACTGTATACTCACCAGCTGGTTGAAAATTATTTCTTAACCTCTCTGGAATTTAATGGCCTTACCAAATTTTCATTTCCGAGGTCGGGCGAAATGTGACTCGAAAATTAGGGCTAATTTGGTGACTCGAAAAGGGCAATAACTGTGTCAAGTGCTTATGGCTGCATGGTGGTGCTCCAGGCTACTCGTCGCCATCTTGCTTTTGAGCTGGTTCAAAACAATGCATTATTTAATAGTGGTAAACCGATCCCTGAACACGTGACCTGCGAGAGGACTTGAGTTTAGCATCATTTGTGAAATATTCGAGAATGAGTATGACAGAATTTCCTTGATTGTACGTTTGAGGTTGGATTACCGCGCTTTTTCAATTTCAAGATGTAATTAAAGGGGAGTGAAATTAACTTCTCGTTCATTTCGTAGCGTGATGCGTGTTTTATACATTTGTATTGTGATGTTACATTACTTGAGATAATAATGCTGTGCAGTAATGTGAATGGTGAGGCTTGCGTAAAGAATTTGAACGTCTCCATTGAACCTTCGTCTCGTCATGTTGATAATGAACTCAGATGCATTCGCTTCTATTTTATTTGAAATGATCATTTCCAAAATTCGTTCATTGCAATGCAAATCAAAGTTCTAAAAGTCATTATCACCCTGATCCCCGATCTTCGTGAACTTGCTTTCTTCAGATGTATGGACACCAGTCCATACTAGAAGCAGTCGCTCAGCATGAAACCCTGAAAGATAACGACCAATTCAATCGTGATTTTGCGGAATTGTTGAATGTGGAAGAGCATAAAGAGTTCTATAGAAATCTCCGCGTCGCGTCTGATGGAGACTGGCTCTGCCTCCGGGAATGTGGACAGGATGAAGAGGGCCTGTCGTTGGCTCCAAATTCCTTCTTTGATCCTGCCATCCCAGGTATTGTTTTGTTTCTTGACAGGGCTTATCGTTGAACCCCTTCCGCACATTGTGTGAAATTGGAACCATTTATGCGAAAATATGGATTGCTTTGTACCTTTAAGGGCCGCAGTTGTAAAAGGTATGACTGCTTCCAGATTCACTTTTGTATTTATGCCTTGTCGAGGTTTGGGTGGTGTACAGCTTTACTGACAAAACCCTGATTTTTCCGTTCAATTATTCTGTATTTCCGTCGTGAATCTCACATACGGTTCCGTTTTATTTGTAGCTGTGCATGTGGGTTGTGGAAGCAAATTATAGTCATAGCTTTGTACCGTGTCAAGATGAAAGCATTCAGTGAGAACATCATTTCTGACTGCGGCACGGAAAGCATGCCGTACGAAATGTTTTCGGAAAAATCATTGATTCATATTATACTCTTTTTTGTGAAAATTAGCCTCAGAATAATTCATTTCCTGCTGGAGATTATTTTGGGAAATATTTAATTTTATTTGTCACATCAAGCGTTTCTTCGTGGTGATCTTCCTACTGGATGGATTTCTTTTCCGTTGTCGACACAAATTGAATTGACTTGGACAATTCCTAAAGCCCTTACGTATTTCGCAGGACAAGATCCCATGATGATGGAGCAGAAAAACTTGATCAACCTGCTGAAGATAATCGTCAAAGAGGTCATCGAGTGTTCCATGGTTCACGGAGGTGTGCTTGAGGCGGATCAACTGCCTCTTCAAGTGCGTTTCAAAAATGTTAATAAATTTTGCGATGATTGAGAGACTTCAAATTTTCATTTTCCTGCAGCATTTCCTGGCTGTGGTTGAACACGCTCTTCAGCACGGTTTGAAGCCAAAACGAGGTCTTCTCGGGCCTCGTAAAGAACTATGGGATTTGCTGCAGGAAGTAGATCGTCTCTCCCCGGATGCCCAGGAAATTACCATGAGTGTCCGTGAACTTCCCACTGTGAAGTCAGTTGATTATTGAGGATTTAAGATGACCCCAGTTAGAATTATTGATTTTTTTTTTCAGGAGTTCGCAGGGTAGAGCAAGAGCTTGGCTGAGACTCGCGTTGATGCAGAAAAAGCTGGCAGATTACATCAAGTGCCTCATTGACCATAGGGATGATGTCTTGTGTCATTTTTATGAGTCCAGAGCCTTGATGATGTCCGAGGATGCGATAGTTTTGACAGGACTATTGCTCGGATTGAATGTGATTGACTGCAACATTTGTTTGAAGGTATGTGCTTTGCTTGAGTGTGTCGAAAAAAAAAAAGCCGGGGATTTTTCTTACGCTTACGAGCTTTTTAAAGATGAATTTTTGACTCTCACATGCCTCAACAGGCGAAAATGGACAAACGATGTAAATTTTCTGAATGAAAGACAAGATACTTCTTCGTTGGAAATCGAGAGTTTCTCAATTGCGACTTAGTCAGATACAAAATTCAAGTGCAGTATTTACTTGATTAACCCACAACCTTCAGTGAGATGCGCACCTCGATTTTTTATTTCTCAGCTGAAATGTGTGCAAAAATTTCATTCCTGCAGAAAACATGCACTTCAGGTTTCAGTTACTAAAGTTCATATTTAAAACTACATTTGGTAAAAATGTAAATACAAGCCCATGTGAAAGTTGAATTCAATGTTTATTCTCTTTTAAACATACAGTACTTATTAAAGAGGACGATATCTTTTAAAAATTTTCAAAGTGTTTAAAAGAAAGTCTAAGTCTTTGTATGATGCGCACCTAATTTTTTTGCACCTGTTTTTCATAGGTGAACGTGATACTTCAGTAGATAAGATACTGTACTGTTCAAATTTTGGAATAATACCGAGTCTCTATTAGATGCCAGTCTCTCTTGAACGTCAAGACAAAAACACTTATTTTGAGTAAGTGCCTGGGGTTTCTATTGGCGCATGTTTTGCAACTTTACTGAAATAAGCGTTTGAAGTATTGTAAATTCTGTCTTGATTTCATGTCAGGTTTTAAGGAAAGCAGATTTTAGTATCAGATTTATGGCAATTTTACTGAAATAACCCTGTGAAGTACTGTAAATTCTGTCTTGATTTCTTGTTTTAAAGAAATTTCATGTTTCAAGGTTTTAAAGAAAAAAAAAATTTTCACAGGAAGAAGACCTGGATCTGCAGCAAGGGATTATTGATTTCTCTGTTTACCTGAAGAAGCCATCTGCAATGAACCATACAGACTTCCGCGATTTAATTGAGATCACTGGGAAGCAAATGGGTCCTGACAGCATGGCTGCTTTGTTGGATCAGAAAAATTATCTGGAAGAAGTTAATCGTCATTTGAGGTAACATTTGATGATATACTTGTAGCTGATTTTACTGAAATATGAAATAAGACGTCTATTCTTTGAAAATCAAACTTTTTTTCTGGGAAACATCAACATGTTTGTAAAAATAACGATGTTTTTCAGTAGAGTAAAGTTTGTCTCGCAAAGTTTCTACGGGAAAAATAAATTCTTTTATTCCAACGGGTATGAGGAAAATACAGAATAATCAAGAAAAAAATTACTTTACTGTTCTGAGTTGTGAAATTCTGTTTGAATGACATTTTTTGAAGGTCCCGACGAAGCTGTTTAGACACAACTCTGAAAAATATTGTTTTAAATACAGGTATTTATTATTTTAAAAATCCTTACAGCGGAGGTCGACCTGAATTTTTTCTACCGATTTAATTCTAAAGGAGGACTCTTTTCTTGTTCCTTTTTTTTGTTGCAAAAATTTGGACGTGAAAATTTATGCATTCAATTTTGTAAGGAATCCCCCCGGTTTTGTTTTTCGTCAGTTCGACTGTGTCCGACCTTCAAGCTCGCTTGGACACAATGCACACCACGAACAATCTCCTGAAGCAAGACGTGGCAATTTCCAAAAGCCAAGTGCTGCAACTCGGCGATGAAAACCGAATGCTGAGAAGTCAGTTGCAGAAGGCCCAGAAACACGCCAATGATTCCAAGAGTTCGGAGGTACTCTGCAAAAGTGCGCCCGTGTTCTCAATCTATTTATTCCGTAAGATCCTCCTGGCTTTTTTTTTAGGATATGTTGTTGAATGGGAAGGGCTCTGCTGGGGACAATGCCTTGATTCGTGAAGGTGGCGACGGAGCTGCTTGTTCTCCACCTGTGGGCCTGGGTCGAAATGAAGCCCTCAATCACTCGTTGACCATTGCTGACCTGAAGAAGAAACTCGCTGATGAGGAAACCCAGTCTGCGAGGCTCCAAAGAGAGCTGGATTTGCAAGCGAGTGTCTTCCTTAATCTGTATGATGTGGAACTTCGTATTTGAAAAAAAAAAAAAATTCCGTCAAGTAAATGATAAAAGAACTCTTCAGGTTTTATTTAGCATCTTTTGGAATATACTGTAATTTGGATTCAAAATCTCGGGGTCATACATTTTTTTGGGACTTTCTCACTTCCCAGGAGAATATTTTGGCCACAGTTCTTAAAAGGGACTGTTTTCAGTGTTTCATTACTGTATTCCACGAATTATTTTAAATGAAATGCTACTGTTCGAATTGGTTTGCAGGCCTTGCATTTTTTTCTGTTGGTTTTTTCAATGGGGGAAAACTTTAAAATTCAAATTTTTTCAGAATTTGTCAACGTTTCAAATTGAATCAAATATGACAAGCACCTGAACTTGTTAAATATTGAATTTAAAATTGCAATTTTTTCTGTTATGCTTATCCTTTTATTGCACTTATAATTTTGTTTAAGGTGTGCATGGCAACAGCGTAAATACCTGAAATTAAATGCATTACATATTTTTTTTAGTTATGAGTATATTTAAGTAACAATCTCTACTGTGTTCTGAATAAATGTCTTGAATTACTTTTTGGAATTCATTGTCTGTTCCAATGGTTTCAGGTGGCAATGAGGAGTGAGATGGAAGTTGCCATGAAGCTCTTGGAGAAAGACACAGACCAGAAGGAGGAAGCCATCTTGTCTCTCCGCAGGCAGCTTGATGATGTCCAAAATCTCAACTTGGACATGTTTCAGAAACTGCAGGTGAATCAGTCATTTGACTCCTGTCACATGATCCAACATCTGCGTGTTCAATCATGTTTGCTTAGAGACTTCATTGGGAATACAGTATATTCAAGTGGTTCTCCTGTTCATCAAAAAATGTTGAAAAATTCCCCCAAAAAATTGAATCAAAATTTGTTTCTTAACTTCAAAGTACAGAAAATAACTGCTGAAGGAAACCATGCAGAAATATGCCTTGTTTGGTATGAAATGGGGGCCCAGAAAAGCACAGGACAAGTAAAAGTCTTGTTACACTGTGAACAGACAATGCGAACAATTCTGAGAACGAAGCAGAAATTTGTCAAGCTTTGGGTTATTAATTAAAATGACTTCATAATGCAGTAAGTTGCATACAGTATATGATTTTTGAGAATGTAAATAGCTCTTGAGAACTCAATTTTGAGAAATTTTAATCCTTTGTTCAGGAATTTTTGGTGAATTGTCTGCATCTTGATACAATGTCCAGATGTCATGGCAGATAATTTTGCATCTCAAGTGTCTCTCAAGTTGAATTGTTGATACGTCAGGGCCCCACTGTAATTCTATCCCTCTAAAACCTTGCTGTCCAACATATGGCCCACAGAGACTACTCATCCATTTCATGGTCCATTCCTTCTAATTGTCATGGTAGCAGCCACCACTATTCAAAATATCAATTGGTAGATAAATTTTACAATTGAAAATGTTGCCCCACCTTCAAAAATCATGTAAGACTATGCTGGTGATTCAATGTATATCACTGAATTAACTTCAAAACCTTTAATTTAGAATGGGAACATTTGGAACCTCATAAATTATTGTCTCTTGTGAACCGCAAGGACTCTCCACCTCAGCATTATGGCACTTCGTAAAAAATATATTACTGTTATGTGACCCTTGGCCACATCTAAATTGAGCAGCACTGTATCTAAAATTTTTATTTATTCTTTCAGGAATGTGAATTTGATATCAGATCCAAGAGCGACCGGATTTCCAAGCTGCAAGAAAAGACTGTTCAAGTCGCTGCTGCGTTGAGCAGATTGGAGCAGTATGATAGAGACAAATCTACCCTGGATGAACTGAGACGTTCTAGCATGACGTCCAAAATGTCTGCGGTCAGATCACAAAACTCTACTCCTTCTTCACTCGCTAATAGCCTGCATCAGTCTCAGGGGAATAATGAGTGAAGTTTTTTCATCTGTCTCACACTGTACTGCCTCAGCTTCGCAAGTTGTAAACACGTCATTTGTCCTGCGAACTGAGAAGAAAAAAAAAAAAGGCAAAACCCGGGTTGTTTGCAAGTATTCCTTAAGGCACAACTGGAGCGATTCCAGAGGCATGTTTCTTTATTTTTTTGTTGTTGCCAAATTGCACCTTCTTGCGAATCTGCTGCATCACGTTCAGCATCTTGAGCATTCCCACATACTGTACCTTTTTGTTGTCGTTTCAACTTGGGAGGGAAAATGTGTTACCTGTTCAATGCGTGACTGAAAAAGACTTGTAGTTTATGCTTCCGAACGGAAAGTTGGTTTCCTTGAGAATCGCCCACCGGTTAGACTATATAGTCATTTATGTGATAAAATCTGAAGTAAAACGAAAAAAAAAACAACTTATCATTCAAGGGAATTGCGGAGGTTGCGACAAAGGAATGAACCGTGTTTAGTTTTTTAGAAAAGACTACTTTAACAGACGTCAGATTGCAACTCGGCATTTTTTTGGCACTGAAAATGTGGGTGGAATTTGCAGTCCTGTTTATTGCAAAGAAATGCTTCGAAATGATTACGTGGAACTTTTGGTTCCTGAATGTTTGTTTTTCGTTGGGGTTTCAGAAGCATAGAGAAAATCATGGGAGTGATACCTTTGTTTATGCTGAAAAATCTGGCGAACTCCACTAAATTGGTTAACTTTCAGATAATTTCTGGGGCTTCAACATCAAGCGCTTTGCTGTCTTTCAATCAGTGTTTCACTGAAGTTGGGTATTACAGTATTTTTTTTGGTCACTGCTGATCATTCGATTCAGTGTTTCTCAACCTTTGGGTCAGCAGACCAGAAAAATACATGAAATTTTCGCAGACCTGCCAAAATTTTTCAAATACTTGCCATGAAGTCCTATAATCAAAACTTTTTTTGCAAAAATTAAGTCAAGAACCAATGAAGCACCTATAGTGGAAATGTCTTTAAAAAAAAAAACTTTGTATTTAATGGCCACAATTGTTATTTTGATTTTCATTCAACAAATCTTCTTCGATTTTTCATAAGGTAATTTTGACTGCCATTGTCTTTCCAAAATTTCAGTTGAATACTTCATTGCTACCTTTTGTAAATTCATTTTGCTGAAGAAAATTTCCTGAGGACTGGCGAAAAAAAGAAACTTCTTTGGACTACTGATTTAAATGATCAATTGAAACTGAAGCAAATGTATTGGCAAATGAGTTGACCTTGCAAAATTTCATGCCATTCTAGAAAAGGTCAAGTATTGCTCCTATGATTTTCTGCAAATGAATACCTTCCCGTGTATGTAAACCGGTGCAATGCCTGAAACATGTGTATCTCATTCAGCGCTCGTTGATCTCTTTTTTTCTAACGATTAGTGCCAAAAAAAGAGCTCTCGGAAAGTGTGCGAGTGAAGGTCGATCTCCCAGAACAGAAATATTCGCAAGCAGATTGCCTTATTTGTGATCTCAAGTGTTCTTGTAACCGACAGTCGGATTTTGTGAGAGACCAGAAGTTACCGCATGAGTTTTGAGTGAGTGCGCCGTGATGATGATTCAAATTTATGTCACTAGATCGAAATATCACTGTAGTGTGGAATTCTTTTTATCGTTGGACTGGAGAATTTTATTTTGTGTTCACGACGATGTTCTTCAATCGCTGATTGGTGCTAATGAGAATTTTTTTCTGTTTCTTATTTCGAGGACCCTGTTACGTCTCAAGGGGTGGTCTATTTCGAATTCTGGTTCAGGATGGTTGAAAGGTCTTTGTAGTAAGAGGAACTAAATTAGTATTTTCTGGCATTATTAGAAGCAGGCTTGTGCTGTTCGAAATCCAGTGCCCGTTTTGCTTCAATACAGCTGCATCATTGTTGATGGTCTCTCGCGTTTCTCTTACGATTTTTTTTGTGATTCATGCAGAAAATTTGATTGATATTGGACTTTTTCCTTCTTTTAGACGGCGTGTGTCGAAGTGATCGCTGTTCTTTTTTTTATTTTTTGTTGTTGCTGGTGAAGCTGGGACGCCAGGATGAGTGAAATTGACCCTGTGAGTACAGCAAGAAACTGAGGAAGCTGGTCCAAAAGTTGTTGTTTGATGCGATCTTTTTTTTTTTTTGGCACTGAGCCGGAAAAATCACCAGAAATGTACTTCTGCATTCCCATCTAAAATGAGCGTTCTGACAAGAGAAAAACAAATTTTCAGTGTAGAAGGAACTTTGATGAAAGTTGCTGGAGGAAGAAAATGTTGACTGATTGATGTAAAAGCTTTATTTGCTGCTTGTTGGCATTCACAAGGTTGGAAATGTTTTCCCACATTCCCCCTCACATCCATTTGATACATTCTGGCCTATAAAAGATAATTCACTGTAAAGGTATTATAAGAAAATAATGAAAAATTATGCATGAATGTATGCAGAGCAAATTTCCATAATTTTTTTTCAAATTAAAGAAAAATAACAGCACAAGGTTATTGAGCGTAAATTAGAACCGAGGGCGTTCTGCCTGTTCCCAGATAATTTGAATTGATTAAAACAATTTAGAAACAATCTTCAGGGAGTTACCATATAAAGCAAATACTTTATACTGGTTCTCTTGAAATTTTGGAGATTACCTTGTTATAAAGTTTTGAGAATCCTGAGTCTTTTCATGGTTCAGTTCTTATGGCATGGAATGCTGGACATGAGAATTTGTTTGACCAATTTCCAAGTAGCAATATTTAAAAACTGAATAACTGTGCCTGGAAGCTCAATTCAATTGCTTTTGAATTGTTCACATGTCAAATCTTGATTTATCATATCATTGTGATTTGTAGGAAATTGACATCTGAAAGAAGTAACTGGAATGAGGAGAAAAGGTATTTTTAAAATTAAAATATGAGACCATGAAATATATGAATGCCAAAAATTTGAATTTGGGCCTCAGATAATTTGTTGTGTTGTATTACAGTACTTCTAGAATTTTTTACAATAAAGTTTCTTCGAGTGTCTTTGCAAAATAGCCATATCATCATTTGAGTCTCAGTATAACACATTTTTGTATAATGCCATTGTTCAAATGGTTTTGTTGTAACCAAGGTTTTATATCTATGTAAACAATTTGTATGAAACTCTTCATTTCATGCAGCTTATTATTTGTTACACAGCCAATTCTAATTCATACCCCAAAATGTTGAAAAGTTAAGGGGATATTTTTTTTATACTGTTTCCATTATTCTTGCCCAAAATTGTAATGAGGGAGAGAGTAAAAAACATTCCTAGATTGGATTGGAGCAAATTATTTGAAATGTCTTGCATCATTATTCAAATGCAGTGAAGGGAGACAAAATGGGGATTTTTAAATGACGGTTGAGCAGAGTCAAAAAGACCTTGTCAAACTTGAAAAAAAAAATCGTGCAATTTTCAAACCACACAAAAGCCTTTTTGAATTCGCAATTGTCATTTGGAGCATTTGGTATTTTGTTGGGAAGAATTTAACATTTAATGTCTTGAGATTGAAAAACCTGTTTGTTGGGTCCCTCCTCAGCTGATGTGTGCCAATTTCATTTGATAACTCCAGTATTATTTGCAGAGAGCGGAAATGGCTCGGATTGATAACATCCTGCGGGAATACGATGCAGCCATGCAAGGTGTGCAGGAGATCAAAAATGCCCTGGACGAATTGTACGCCAAGCTGATGCAGTTTATCGATGAAGCCCAAGCCCTGATGCAGGAAGAAGAACAAGAACCGATTTCCAGAGGCACTCGCTATTGTTCTGGCTGAAGGGAAACAAAATTTTCATCAACTGCAATCAATTTCTGTGTCTGTGATTTGCGCAATTTTTTATTGGGATGGTTCAATGATGAGGAGATAAAAAAAAAAGTTTGTTATTCAGGAGATGGCTTAAGGTGAGAGCAAAAAAAAAAAAAGATGATGAGAGAAAAAGTTTCTGGAAAAAAAAGCTTTGTTTTTTCCTCCCATGGTGATTATTTTGCGTGTTTTTCTGAGCGTGTTTTGATACATGCGAGGAATTTTTTTGATCTTTCTGGAATGAGCAGATTTTAGTTGAGATTTTTTCAAAATCTCGCAGCATTATTGCGTTATGCCAGTTTTGGTCTAACTGATGGGGGAACATTTTTTCCGCTTCGAGCAAGGATCCGAGCGTTTGTTTACATCTTCATATCCTTCGGGAATTTCCTCGTTTTGGTGATACATTTTGAAATTCGATTTTTTTTTTCAGGCGAAGATCTTCCTTTAATTATGTGAATATGATGATGGGTTACTGGAAGATTCATTGTCGTACTGTTGGAAATGAATCGGCTTGAAAGATTTGAGCGTATTTGTCGTTTGACATTTCAGTGCATATCTTTCCCTTGTTGATGCGAGAAATCAACGTTGAGGTGGAATTTTTCGTGGCATTTTTGCTGTGGATGAAAGAGTAACATGGCAATGAGGTGAATATTTTGCTGGAATTTTTAAAATGCGGTTGAAAGGTGCATTAAATTGAAAAAATTCGATCTATCCGCAGATTTAGTGCAAAAATGGTAGAAAAATTTATTTGGTACACTTGCTGGAAGCGAAGTTTGGCATTTCCTCCAATGTGGGATCATCTCAAAGATTGTCAACACAAAAAAAAAATCTGTATGGGTTCTCTTGAAGATGGAAGTTTTGATGTTATCATTGGACTTTGAAATCAATGAAAAACAGTTGATTATGACCTTGATATCTGGCATAATGCACATGTGGAGTATCAACATTGAATGTCCTACAAATGGGAAATTCAAAAAGTTACATTTACAGTAGAATCTTCCTGCTGGTTTCTTAAACTGTATCTTGAAACTTAGAGAATTACTTATAGCGTTTACTACAGGTGAACAAATTTTCTGAAATCCTTTCAACACCAGCTGCATTTTACTCCTATGCCTTGACGTTCCTAAAATTGCAAACATGGGGAGAGAATTGAGAGGTGATATCTTGAAATTCAGCTCATATGAAACATAGAAGAGCGACATCTACGTTTCTATCACTAACATCCCGTGAATTGTTCACTTTAGCAGATGCAGAGGATATTCACCTTTCCACCATCATCGGAAAGAATCGAAACTTTCGAAGGTAGCGCATTTTAACATGTGCTGTAATGACAGCACACTTGCTGTGGAATTTGAAATCTTGCCGTCAGAAATTCCCTAGTCAGAATATAAAATCGTTTCATCATGGGAGAAAATTGTGAACCGAACTGTTTTTATCACGTGAAAGAGAAACGTTCAAGAAAAATTACCGAAGTCAGAGAAGTTCAGCCTCCAAAAAAGGTACGTTTAAATAAAAAAAAAAAAAAAAAACAGTTCAAACTTATGAAAACATCTGAACACATTTTCTCTCAATATCAGGTTGTTTGTCAGGATCCATCAGCAGCAGAGGAAGTGGATGAAGAGCAATCCCATCAGGTTGATTGAAACATATGACTGCAGTTGAAAACAGAAATAAATAATAATCATGAATATTAATTTTAGGTTCATGAACAGTCTGAAGAATATGCTGAGTATGTTGACGACTGCAATTTTTTTTCTGTTTCAAAAGTTGAAGCAGGGACTCTCAAAGAAATACTTGCCCTACTTCAATTGTGTGTAAGTCAATTATGAATCAGCCCATAACAAATATCAATAAAACAATTTGAATCTATGCTGTAACTTCAGGATGCAGGAACTTATGGAATCCCTGGAGGTGACACTGTTGAGAATGTGAGTTATTAATTTTATTTATAAAAAACTTCTCATGTCCAGCAGAGAAACAACTACTTTGTAAGAAATAGCTGGATGAAGTGTCCTGTCAAGCTTTGCAAATGACCAAAACAAAAGTTGAGAAGGAACTGGCAGTTTTGACCACATTTTTACAAAATGCTGAAAAGGATGCTGACAATTCTTGTGAGAAACTTCTTGCAGCTGAAAATCAGGTACTAATACACCCAAATTATGATTCAAGAGAAAACCAGACTTTTATTTATTTATTTCAAATTATATTTTCAGGCCTCCAAGAACAAGAAATCAAAAGTCATTGCCTTGGAAAATGAGTTCAAGACAATTTTCACAACCATGAAGCCCCTCAAGAAAAAGCGCTCAATTTTGCACATGAAGGTAAGTTTGACAAAAGCCATGCACTAGTATCATGAGGTCTATTTTAAGGATAGGGCTGACATCTGTTGCATTTTATTTTCAGATGAGAACAATATCAAAAAACATTCATGAAGCAGTTTCAGTTCTCTTGGGCCCTATGAAATATGCAGTCACAGTTTTGGAAGAAAAATCAGGCCCATGGCATCCACTTGCTGGCATTGCTTCAAGCTTGACACTCAACCTGATTGCCAACATTGGTCCAAGATTTTTCCCTCACAAGCTGGACTGCCCTGATTTGACAAAATGGTAAAAATTTCTTATTCAAATTCTGCAAAGCAGTATTCCTCAACCTTTTTTGGCCCATGGACCAATAAATTTCCAAAAGGTACTTTTCTTGCTGGAAAATTAAAAAAAAAGAATGTTGACTTTGCAAAGTTTCACAAAATTGTTGCTGGCTCAAAAATCCTTTTTTTTTTGAAAGACTTCATGGCACATATTTCAAGTTTCTGATTTTTTCAAAAATTAAGCTAAGAACTAATGAAGCAGCTTCAGTGGAATGTCTTCAAAAATTTGCAAGGTGGGCTTGATGAAAGGCTCTTCAGGATGATAAATTGAAATAATTTATTTTAGCACGTGAACATTTTCTGGAATGTTTCTAGGAGATAATAAAGTTTTGTTTTTCATCAGATAATTTCAACTGACATTGTCTTTCAAAAATTTCAGATGAAGATACAATATTGTACTTCATTATGCTAATTTTGATGAATTTATTATACCAAAGATAATTTGTTCAAGACTGACAAGAAACTTCTGCTGACTGGTGCTGGGTCCATGGACCACAAGCTGGAGAATGCTGATTCAAAGAATATCTGTGAAAATTGCACTTGTACTTGTAATTGCATTTTTTTACAGTATGGCACTCTGTATCAACAGAGCTCTGCAAAGAGGCACTTGGTTGCCATTTTCATTGTCAGAATATCTTACTGTCAAGGGCCAAAGGTTCCAAGCTACAAAGACTTCATTTGAGGATGCAGATGGTCCAAGTCCTCCCAAGTTGCCCACAAGCAGACTTTGTGACTGGATTGCTGCCAAAAAGTCTTTTGCACTTTATTGGGAATCTAGTCTCAGCAGGACAGTAAGTTCTTGAAAATCATCTATCTCCCTTTATTATATATCACCCTAAGTTAAAAAAAACCCAAAAAATCCAGATGCTGGCAGGAAATGTGATGGTATAGACAAATAACTACATTTCAGATTTTCCAATAAGGATTTTTAAAATGACAAGATAAATGAACTTGTTTCAAGTGTAATTGTCACTCACTTCACATTGCAAAATTGTGCCTTCGTATACTTTAAATTAGAAATAAGAATAACTCTGTAAATTTCAGAAAAATGCCTTCCACATGCACAAAACATTGCACATACCATAAAAAATGTGTTATTTCAAGTCTGCATAGACTGAATTATTCCTGTAACATTCAGCAAATCAGATTTAATCTCACACTATTCCACTGCTAATTTGTTTTCAAAATTTAAACTCATTCCCCATTAAAATATGAAAGAAAATATTGCAATAAGTGATTGCCTTTGTGGAAAAAAAATCATGTCAAGGAAATATACTTGAAGAGAAGAGCAACTATTTTTACTCATTGAAAAAATCTTGCCCTTGCTATTCCAGAACACTTTCAAAAAATTTTTTCCCATTAAAAAAAAAACAAACAAATCACACTCTTCATGAGGAACAAAACTTTTCCAATGGTTGATGACATTTACAATCATTTACAAGGCACAGACCCCCTGGCAACAGCTGCCCAAAAGGTCTCTTTATTATACAAAGGGCAAGTGAAACAAGTTCTCAATGCTTCTGAGAGAGAGAGACAGGACAGGATAAGTTCAACATTTATGGGTGCAGTGGTAATTGAATGAATGAAACTGGTCTCTTTCCAATGAGTGTATATATATATATTTTTTTTTTCTTTAAATTTGTTTTATATTTTTCTGTTGTTGATATGAGGATAAAGAATATAAGTTGGCTGAGACAGCAGCATCCGCTAGTGGGATAGTTATCAAAGCGCCTTGAGATCTGCCCCCGATTGCTCAACTCAACTCAACTCACAGCATGGATGCTGGAGGTTCATCAAGGGCAGCCGGGTCTGCATCCCTCGAATTAAGAAGAAAAAAATGAAAGAGAGGAAGCAAAAAATAAATAAAAATACTGCAGATGTACTGTATATATACTCGAGTCGGGTGATCTCCGAGATGTACAGGGTGTTGATGATGGAAAATAAAAGATGAGAGCAGACTGGGAGGCTTTAAGAGTCTGCCTTTTTTAATTTTCGAAAATTTGACACACCTATACTTTGACAGTTTAAAATGATGGAAAATAAACTATGAGAGTAAGTTGTGGGGTTTTAAGAGTCTGCCTTTTATTTTTTATTTTTTTTTAATCTGACACCTATTTCAACAGTTGCAAAGGAAAGTGAATACTGTAATATATTTACTGTACTCAAATGATCTTCATGTACAGGGTGTTGTTGAAGGGGAAAAATGAGAGCATATTGTGATGTTGAGAAAGTCTACATGCCATTTTTGGCATCTGACTATACTAGTTTTGACAACTAAAAACAAACAGATTTGTACTGTAATCAAGTGATTTCCATGTACAGGGTGTTG